CCAATCTGAAAAGGTTGCTGTGTGATTTCAGCTATACAACATCCTGGAAAAGGCAAGACTGTGGAGATAGTGAAGATATCAGTGGCTGCCAGGGGCTGGGGGAGGCAGGGATATATAAGCAGAGCAGGAGGATTTTAGTATCATGTGATACTCTGTATGATACTGTCATTGTGGATACATTATGCATTTATCCAAGCCCATATATTGTGCAACACCAAGAAAAAACCCTAATGTGCGCTGTGGAGTTTGGGTGATAATGATGTTTCGGTGTAGAAATATCAGCTGTACCACTCTGGTAGAGAATGTTGATGGTAGGGAAAGCTGTGCATATGTGGGGTTGGAAAGAATACATGAGACATTGCTGTAAAACTGAAAAACACAATACTGAGATGAAATTTCTCTGGATGGGCTTAACAGGTTGTAGAAGGAAGATAGATGAACTTTAAGAGGGATGAAGAGAAATTAAAAGTGAAGACCAGGGAAACAAAAATTAAGGAAAAATTGGCAGAACCTCAAGTTCCTATGGTACAATGGTAACATACTTGTAATACAAGAAGGAAGAGAGAGAGAAAGGAGCAGAAGTATTTGAAGAAATGAGTCATAATTTTCTCAAATTGGTGTAAAATACCAGTGTCCAGCCCTGAGAAGTTCAGTGAACTTTGAGCAGAACAAGTATAAAAATAATCACATCTAAGTTTATAATAGTCAAAGTACTGAAATCCAAAGATTAAAAGGAAATTCCAGAAGTACTCAGAAGAAAAAGACACGTTACATACCAGAGAAGAAGCATTTGAACCATGCATGACTTCCATAAAGATGCAATAGAGACCGCGAGACAATGGAAAGACATTTTCTAAAGTACTAAAAGGAGGGGAAAAGCCTGTCAACTCATATCTAGTAAAAATCTCCTTTACAAACAAGGGTGAAATAACACATTCACAAATGCAAAAGCAGGGAGAATGTGTTATCAGCAGAATGATACTATAAACATGCTAAAGAATGTACTTTAGGCTGATTGGGAATGATACCAGATGAAAGGTTAGCTCTGAAAAGAAAAGAATCCTATAAATTGTAACAGCACTCTCTAAATTTTCTAGAATATTTTAATCTATGTTTATGATTTTATGGCTTTTAGTTTTTTATATTAAAATTTTATGGTATAAAATCATCAAATGTCTACTCTTCTTTATACCTCCTTTACCTGTTTGAAGTTTGTCCATGTTGTACCATGCATCAGTAGCTTATTCCTTCTTGCTATTGAATTATACTCTATTAGATAGATATAACGCATTCTCTTTATTGATTCACCAATTGGTTATTCATTGTTTCCAGTATTTAGCAATTGTGAATAATGCTGCTGTCAACATTATATATGTACATATCTTTGTGTATACATATAATTTCCTTTATCTTGGTTGGGTGCCAACTAGTACAATGATTGACTTTTACCCTAAGTTTGTTTCGCTTTTTAAAAACTGCCAAATTGTTTACAAAATATCTGCACCATTTTACACTCCCACCAGCAGTATATGAGCATCCCAATTTCTCTACAACATCACCAGCAATTGGTATTGTTGGTATTTTTATTTTTGCCATTCTAATTGATGTGAAATAGAATATCATTGTGCATTTAATTTGAAACAATTAATGATGCTAAGCATCTTTTAATATTATTTAAATATTATTAAATATTTATTTAAATGATGCTAAGCATATTTTAATATTATTAGCTTTTAATGTGCTAATTCCTATTCATAGCCATTTGTATATATTAATTGGTAAAACATTTGTTCAGATTTTTTGCCCATGTTTTAAAAGGGTTGGTTGTCATCATATGGATTATAGGTGCTTTATACAATCTGAACATAACACTTTTACAGATGTACAGTTTCTCAATGAAAGGACAGACTATTCTGTGGTAGACAGAATAAATACCCCTCCCCCAAGATATTCATGTACCAATCCTTGGAACTTATGAACGTGTTACCTTAAGTAGTAAAAGGTATTTTTCAGCCATGTTTAATTTAAAGATCTTGAGATGGGACCATTATCCTGGCTTAACTAAGTGGACCCACTGTAATCAAGAAGGTCCTTACTAGAGAAGAGGAAGAGTCAGAGAATGGAGCGATGCTCTGAAAAGATGGGGAGGGCTGTCAGTCAAGGACGCAAGTGGCCTCTAGAAGTTGGGAAAGGCTCCTTTGAAGCCTCTGAAAGGAACATAGCTCTGCTGACACTCAGATTTTCTGACTTCTCCATTTGTAGGATAATAAATATGTGTGTTGTTATAAGCCACTACGATCAAGCTAATTTGTCGCATTAGCTATAGGGAGATTGTCATCTTTTAAAACTTAATAGTTTTCTATTTGGATGAAGTCCAGTTTACTAATTTATGGATTATGTTTTTGGAAGTTTTAAATCTCATAGTCTTACTGTTTAATTTAGATTTGTGATCCATTTTGAGTTAATTGGTATTCGTGCAGTAGGGATCTTAAGTGAATTTTTTTGTCGTTTTGGTTTGGGGGAATTTTTTTCCCATGCTTTCTTTTTGGGGTGTGGGTAACTGGGTACATCATATTATTCTGAGTTGTCTTGAGAACTTTGTCAAAAATTAATTGACCATAAATATGAGACTTTATTTCTGGGTTTAATTCTGTTCCTTTGACATATATGTCTACTCTTGTGCTGACACTCCCTTAATTACTGTGACTTTATGTAAAGTTTTGAAATCAGATAGTGAAGTCCTCCAACTTTGTTTTCCTTTTTCAAAATTATTTTGGCTGTTCTAGTTCCTTTGTATTTCCCAATAAAATTGAGAATAAGCTTTCAATTTCACACACACACACACACACACACACACACACACCCTCCCTCCCTCCCTTCTGGGATTTTATTAGGGAGTGCCTTGAATTTATGGAACACTTTGGGAACAATTGCTGTTTTGATAATACTGAGTTTTCCAATCCATGATTATTATTCTGTCTCCATTTATTTGAATCTTCTTTAATTTCTCTCAGTGATGTTTTTAGTTTTCAGTGTACACATTTGGCACCTTTTTGTTAGAAGTTGTGCTGAATGTTTTATGCTTTTGATGCTATTGTGAATGGAAGGATAAATTCCATTTTCAGGTTTATTGTTAATATATGTATATCTTGTGTCCTGTGACCTCATCAAACTCAGTTTTTAGTAATGTGAAGCATTTTTGGTGGATTTCTCACAGTTTTCTGCATCTACGGTCATCTATTAATGAAGACTGTTTTATTCTTTCCTTTCTAACCTGGCTGTCTTTAGTTTATTACTAAATTTATTAATTGAATTTATTAGCTGGAAACTGCCAGATGATGTTGAATAAAAATGGCAAGAGGGCATATCTTTGTCTTGTTCTCAGTTGTAGGGAAAATGCATTCCATTGTTGACCATTAAATACAATGTTAGCTGTGGCTTTTCATGAATGCACTTTAACAGGTTGAGGAAATTAGCTTCTATTCCTGGTTTGTTGAATTTTTAATCTTGAATTTGTCAGTACTTTTCTGTCTTCTAAGGTTAGCTTGTGGTTCTACTCCCTTAATTCTATACGGTGTACAACACTGATTCATTTTTGAATGTTAAATCAACCTTAATTCTTGTCCGTGGTATTTAATGCTGGTCACCATTGGTCTTGCAGTATCATCCCTTTCATATGCGGCTTGTTTGCTTTGCTGTTATTCTGTGGAGTGTCTACATATTATTCTGCAGCTTTCTTGGAAAAGGTGGATAGGAGTTAGGAATGAAAGACTGTAAAGAGTCATGAGAAGACGTTCTGGGGAGATAGTTGTGCTCCATTTGGATACCTGGTGGTGTACCTTTCTCAAAAGTCTCGAGGCTGTGTCAGTTTCACTTTTTATATAAATTGTGTAAGTTTTCTTGAAAGGCAGGGTGATAGAGACTTTTCAGGCTCTTAATATTGTTGCTTTTCTAACAAATTTTTAACAAGTAAACGTTAAAAAAATTTCCAGACAGCCCAAGTCATGCGACAGTGATAGTAAGTGTGAATGTTGTTTGCAGTTATTATCTTTTGAAAGACAAACCTGTGTCTTAAGATTATTTGCCATGACGACTCCTCTCACCTGATGCTCTGGAGCTGCTCACCTGAGCTGGCGTTTCCCATAACTCACCTGTAGGAAGGATTCTGAATGGCATTCTTACATTGAAGTTTAAATAACAAATATACCAATAGTTCATTCTCAAAACCCTTGATACTGCATGAAAACTTATTAAATGAAAAATATTCTCATAAATTACAGTGAAAAAGTTGATATATTTTATCACAATCCAAGATATCCAATTTGTACAGATAGAAAAATCAGTAAATAATGAGAATGTACAAGAAACCAATGCCGTATAAGTGAATAGATTTCATTTGCGTGTAAAATGTGATGAAGGTTTGTTGTGTGCACCGGAGGAAAGGGAGGGTGGTGGGGCCACTCCACGTGAGTACCTTCTACTTTCTCTCCTGTTACTGGCATCAGCGTCTTCATCCTTAAGGAGCTGCATGGGTGTCTAACACACACTGACTTAGAAATAAATTAGTGCTCAGAAGAACATCTCAGGACTAACAAGGACTAAACATAGTCACACTGTGAGACTCAGGAGAGCAGCACAGGCCTCAGCATCCCTGAGGGAACGTGGCCCTCGTGCGCTCACTTTGTGGGTGACACAAGAAAACACGTGGTTTCTTCTGAAACTGTTGTGTATAGGAAATGGGTGTGTCTTTGAGATTACACTGTCAAAATAAACATCTTATAGTATGTTTATTTAAGGTGTTTTGGATGAAAAATTCATTACTCCAAAAGAAATGGTTCATTATCTGAAAAGTGGTTTAACTTCTCAAGAGAGTCTATAGCAAAAAGTCATTGAACAACTGTTCAGACTCAGGTGAAGTCAATCTGTGTTTGGAGAGGGTCTGAAATTGTGGTATGTGTTTTTGCTGCACTATATAGCAAATCGCCTTTCTTCTTACACAGATACCTCTTCTGGCTCAGAAGACGAAGGCTCAGTGCAGGGGGACTCCCAGGGCACCCCTACCTCCAGCCAAGGCAGCATCAACATGGAGCACTGGATCAGCCAGGCCATCCATGGCTCCACCACATCCACCACCTCCTCATCCTCCACGCAGAGCGGGGGCAGCGGGGCCGCCCACAGGCTGGCAGACGTCATGGCCCAGACCCACATAGGTGAGTACGCTTCCAGTGTCTTTCCGTGCCTGTTGACTAAACGCCTTTCTGTGTGCATGTTCTCCTCTATCTGTGTCATCCCTGTGGAATCCCTCTGTGGAAAAAGCACAGAGCCCCTCTGGCCCCTGGGGTGCTTTGATCTGATTGTTTCTGGAAGCTGCTTTACTGCTTCTCACACCCAGGTCCCTCCCACTGCTGCGATTCCAGGGGCCTTCTGTTCATCGACAAATCCATTGTTCCTGGAGAGACCTGCAGCCATATCCGCTCATGTGTTTTCTTCTCACTTATGCTCCTAAGTGAACCTCTGACAGTGCCGATCAATAGGACAGGGTTTTAAAGTGGACTCGTCCTGACTGTGGGAGTCATTTAAGGAGATGGGACTTTAATCATGACTGATTGTTTGGATTTCTTGGGCACATCACACTGTTATGTGTGTAGGTTCCATGGCAAGGGAGATCCCCTGTGTTAGAAAAAGCAGTTAGGGCCTCTGCCCTATGACATTTGAAGATGCTGTCGAAAAGAAGTGAAGTGAGAATTATTAAAGGAAGAGCCAGCACATGGGTGAGCGGTGATGAACTTTGCATCGCTCTGCCTTTGAATGGTTCAGTAGTAAATGTTTTTCATAAAGTACATGAGTTGGGTTGAATAGGGTTTGGGGGTGCCTCTCCTTAAAGCAGCAACAGGAGATGCTGCATACCATGTTGCCTATAACAGAGTGTCAACTACAGGCTCAGACCCTCCCGGTATCTCAGCTACCACAGGAAAGCCTGCTTTCTGAAAAATGCAGAGGGAAACAAGTGAGTGTCACGCGTGATTAAATTACCCACACATACCCCAGAACCCCAGAATGTTCACTCTAGGTCAGTGACTCTTCGATGCTCAGAGGTGTTTCGGATTGACTTGGGTCTCAGCCCCTCCAGTGCTCACCGAGAGTTTAAGTATTGGCCGTTTTTCTGTGGTCAGGAGAGCTGGGTCTAGTCTCACTTTTCCCAATAACTGCTGCTGGGATCTTGAAGTCACTTCTCCTGCTCTAAGTTTTTAGTGAAAAATGAGAAAAATAATTTCTTTTTTCTCTCTCAGAACTGTTGGGAGTATAAAGGAGAAAATAGAAATACTCTTTAAAAGTCTGCAAAGTAATACTCAAATGCAAAGTACTGTTATTACACTTCAGTTTGACACATTTTCGGGAACATGTACACTGGTTTATGTGAATTAATAACCTCTACTTGAAATCACAGGAAGTTAAAAATTGAACAGAAATGTGTGACTTTCCATAATAAAATTCCCTGTATATGTTGGATCCCAGGATAGTGGCCGAGGCTTTGCCATTTTCATCTGGCACCTGAACTGAGAGGCCAAACACCACCTCTGCCACTTGGAAGCATTTGTATCTTCTGATTTTATTCATTTTTAGGGAAATGCTCAGAATATTACCAAGAAAAACACATATTTTTGAACAGATTAATCACTGTACTTGGGCCTCCCTCAGTGGGTTTATCATTGCAATAATGATGGAAATTTTAGCACAAAGAATTAATTTATCCAAACTATGCCGGTTTCGTAACTCATGTACATCAAGGTCAATGTGACCTAAATGTAACTCTTGGGTGTATAACATTTCAGTAAGTTCTAATTTGGCACAAAGATGATCTTCCTAGAATATCTGAAAATTTTCTATAACTATGAAACTTTTCTGGAAAGCAAGCAGTGGCAAAGTAAACTTGACGAGAAAAGAAAATACTTTCTGTGGCAAAACAAAAGAAGTAAAAAGTCAGATTTGCATTTGACCTTTTGAGATGATAGAAGCCTACAAACAAGAAAATGTGTACATGTGCGTGTGTGCCTATGCGTGTGTGTGTGCACGCACATGAGTGTTTTAAGGAGTCCAGGGCACAGTAAACAACTGAGTCACACTGGCCGATCACCCCGGCAAGGGACGGAAGTGGAGACCGCAGAGGCTGCTTTTGTCAGAGGGGAGAAAAGCCCAGGGCTGGAGTCCAGGTCACAGAGTCTCACAGAGCTGGCCATGCTTTACTTGTTTTTGAAGCAAAATCTCAAGTAGTCCTTTGTGGATTTTTTCCACCAATTTAATTACACCAGCAATTAAGTAGGGACATCTCACACGTATCTCAACAGTCAAGCCAATTTGACATAAGATAGGAGATCCCATTCCAGGTTTCTCTTTCTGCTGCTCTACCCACTGTCTATCTAGAAGCTGTGTGCAGTGCTTTTACACCTTGGAGCGGAGAGAAGGCCTCCAGATGCTGCCGTCCAAGTCCGCCGAGGACTGAGGGTGTGTGAGTTGCTTCTGCAGGAAATCGGGCGTGGGTCTGCCTGCCTTCCAGGCGGAATGTCGCACTGACGAACAGTGTGGCAGGCCTGCTCCTTAGTGAGAGCCAATGATTCTTCTCTTCTCAGTTACAGGTTCCAAGTTTGTGGCCTTGCCAAATCTACTTGTGACCCCAGATTAACACCCTCCTTGAGGAGGGGCTGACGCAGTGCCCAGGCAGCTTTCCCCTCCTACCTTCCCCGCTCTGTTCTCAGATCATAAAGGATCCTCCTTTCACAGCCTCTTTTGTGCCTCAATTTTCTGTTTCCTGTTTTTGTGCGTTCTGTTAATTTTGCCATCTGGATGGCCTCCAGTCATGGTACTGACACATGCCGTGTCCGGTGAAGAAAGGCTTTTGGGGATGAGCACCACTTTCAGGAGGGCAAAATACTGTGCTTCTGTCACGTGGGACAAGTGGCAGGTGTTCCCGAAAAGCTTCTGTCAGAGGAGGATTCAGAACCAAGATCCACATGGGGCGCCCGTCAAGATTCTAGGTGTGATGAGTGTCATTCATGGGCTGCTTGGCGCATCTTCCTCAACGCTTCCTTTGTTAAATAGAAAAGCTTGCTTTTCCGCACTTAGCCATGTATGGCTCAGCTTTATCTCCAGGGGATGCTGTAAGGGAAAGAGCTCCACGTGCTCATTGGCCTAATGCAGCCCTTAGTACACATTAGGGTGTAAATGTGGTTTTTTGAATGACTAGTATTGTTTGTCCTAAGATAAATAATAAAATAATAGTTCTTAATGTCTCCCCTTTTATGAAGGAAAACCTATGACCTTTACACATGTTAACTCACTTAATCTACACCACTACCCTACATGGTCATGGCCATTACTATTCCTATTTGATGGATGAAGAAACTGAGGCATGGAGAGCTTAAGGGACTTCCCCAAATTCCCAGAAGTTTCTGGAGCCGGGTTTCCAATGGAGACTCCTGGCTTCAAAGTGTGAGTAAGCCCTCAGCTGTGTTGCCTGTGGCAGATAGGAAATAGGACCCTTCTGTGAACAAACACAGCATTCCTGAGGCCCTGCCATTGGCTAACGTTACTTTAGTTAAAATGCTACTGAGGTCTGCTGACGTGGCTCCTGGTAGGAAATGACGTCGGAATTTGGACTGAACTCTGCTCCATTTGTGGCAACATGAGTTATGCCAGGTCCCCCTTTGTGCTGGATGGTGTGGTGGACGTGGCTGAGAGTGGCTTTGGCAGCTCACGGCATGCACAGGGTGAGCACCTGTGCTCTGGTCTCTTCCCAGGCCGTGGCTTGCTCAGCCTTCAGAGAAAACTTCAGAAAATCTCATGATGTGCTTCTTTACAGAAAATCATTCTGCACCTCCTGACGTAACCACGTACACCTCAGAGCACTCAATACAGGTGGAGAGACCGCAGGGCTCCACGGGGTCCCGGACAGCACCCAAGTATGGCAACGCCGAGCTCATGGAGACCGGGGATGGTACGTGTCAAAGCAGAGATGTGTTTCTTTCTGGTAAACTACTGTTGCCAATGTCCATTTCTGTGCCTGGGACTGGGTGTGTTTCTTCCTGGGGAGCAATCATTTCTGTTAAAGCCAATAAATCAGATCTTTCGGGAGCCTCTCATGGAAGGTGGCCTAGCCACAGAAATGCAGATATTCTCCAAGTGAGCCAAATGTTACTCCTTGTAGGAAAAATGTAAATGTTGTAGGAATTTAGTCATGAGAAGAAAAAGAAATTTTATAAGATATTGACGTTTTAGCTACTGAATAATGGTGGTTCAGCAATTGAGAAATTACAGTACAGGTGTTAAGACCATGAACAGTTACTTAGAAGAGCAAGATGAAGTTAAATGTACAACAAAGCAATTGTGAGATGGGCTGATATGTTGCTTTAGACCTCCGAAGAAAGAGGGTCTTTTTTTATCTGTGTTGGACAGAGATTACCAGTGATTTGGTAGCAGACTGCGGCTGAGGGGTTCTCCATCCATCCTCGTGGCCTGGTCTTGGTATGTTCTAATGACAATGGCTGTTCGTATCATCCAGCCACTATTCTATGTAAGTCTTAGTCCTTCCTGGGGTCATAAAAGTCAGAGTAGAGCCTAGCAGTGAAATACAATGCCCTTGTGAGAAGCTGCATGGAGCCACCTTGGTGTGCCGTCTTGTGGTGCATGGGACTCGCAGGTGGACAGGGAGGCCTATCCGGGCCCCAACAGGCGCAGGTGGACAGGGAGTCCTATCTGACCTCTGACAGGCGCAGGTGGACAGGGAGGCCTATCCGAGCCCTGACAGGCACAGGTGGACAGGGAGGCCTATCCGAGCCCTGACAGGTGCAGGTGGACAGGGAGGCCTATCCGAGCCCTGACAGGCACAGGTGGACAGGGAGGCCTATCCGAGCCCTGACAGGTGCAGGTGAACAGGGAGGCCTATCCGAGCCCTGACAGGTGCAGGTGGACAGGGAGGCCTATCCGAGCCCTGACAGGCACAGGTGGACAGGGAGGCCTATCCGAGCCCTGACAGGTGCAGGTGGACAGGGAGGCCTATCCGAGCCCTGACAGGCACAGGTAGACAAGGAGGCCTATCTGACGTCTGACAGGCACAGGCAGACAGGGAGGAGGCCTCTCTGAGCTCTGACAAGCGTACTGCTGCATTCTCACATGAGGCAGAGACCAGCTGTGTGTTTGCAAGTGTCCAGTTAGTGCAATGACTTTTCCTGGAAGGCGTTTCAGTGTCATCATTTGCTTTAGTTCTCTAATCAATTCAGTCTTTACAAAGGTGGCCATTTTTGTTAGTCTCCTTATGGTCATTTTAATAACTGTCATCTTTCAAATCTATCACCTTTGCCTTTGTTCCCCAGGTAAATCCTGCATCGTGCATTGTGTGGTCTCAGTGTGTCGCAGCCTCCCACACCAGAATCCCCCAGGGGCACTTGCTGGCATGGTGATTCTGGGCCACGCCCCAGACGTCATGAGCTGGAAGTTAGGGGGGCCCCAAGGCAATTCTGCCAAATTAAGCTTGAGATCACTGGCATTGTGAAATGGTCTCTGATTCATTGAACCAAATTAATTGGGCTATTTAATGGGAAAATACTATGGTTAGATGTTGAGAATTCTGGACTGTGTGTTTTTCTGTATTTTCAGAGATATGAAATATTTAATGTCTCAATTCTGAAAGTGCCCATAGAGCATTTTGAGACTATTAAAAATTCTTGATAGGGGCCGGGCATGGTGGCTCATGCCTGTAATCCCAGCACTTTGGGAGGCCGAGGCGGGTGGATCATGAGGTCAAGAGATCAAGACCATCCTGGCCAACATGGTGAAACCCCATCTTTACTAAAAATACAAAAAATTAGCTGGGCATGGTGGCGCGTGCCTGTAGTCCCAGCTACTCAAGAGGCTGAGGCAGGAGAATTGCCTGAACCCAGGAGGCAGAGGTTGCGGTGAGCCGAGATCGCGCCATTGCACTCCAGCCTGGGTAACGAGAGTGAAACTCTGTCTCAAAAAAAAAAAAAAATCCTTGATAGAAAAAATTTCCTTGAATTCTGTTCTGTTCCTCCAAACGTTGAAGTCTGTTTTTTCGTTTTGAGATGGAATCCTACTCTGTTGCCTAGGCTGGAGTGCAGTGACGTGATTTTGGCTCACTGCACCCTCCGCCTCCTGGGTTCAAGTGGTTCTCCTGCATCAGCCTCCTAAATAGCTGGGATTATAGGCACCCGCCACCATATTCGGCTAATTTTTAATCGGAGATTTTGCCACGTTGGCCAGTCAGGTCTTGAACTCCTGACCTCAGCTGATCCGCCCACCTTGGCCTCCCAAAGTGCTGGAATTACAGGCATGAGCCACCAAGCCTGGCTGAAGTCTGTTTTTTATGGTCCTCTGCAGGGAAAAACAAGGGCTCTGCCTCGGGTGAGGGGCAAGACCTACCAGCCACCCCAGCAGAGCCCACTGCACTGTCCAAGCCCGCAGCCCCGTGTGATGGCTTCTCCGGTCCTGCCGGCTGCACCTGCAGAGCCTTCCCCACCGCCACCCGCCCCCCATCCCCGTCACGCCCCTCTGCACCGTCCAAGACCGCATTTCCGGGTGATGATTTCACAGTTCCTGCCGACCACACTTGCAGAGCCCTCCACCCTCCCTACCCCCACCCCACCCCACCCCATCCAAGCCCGTAGCTCTGGGTGATGGTTTTCTAGGTCCTGCCAGCTGGCAATGTGTGCCTGGGGAGGACGCTTTTGATCTGGTTGGGGCATCAACGTCTTGGTCCTCTGTCTTGTTCATTTATTTGATTTATTATTCATCTTGAAATTTGGAAACTTCTTTTTCATTTATCAGTTCATTTAGTTGATTTTCAGAATGATACAGCATTCATCATTGTAATTAATAAGCACAGTATTATAAAATGGGGATTTTCTCAGCACACTTGGATAGGTATGTGCTAGTATTCTGTTACACAAAAACCTTAGTTTAGAGACTTTAACTTCTGTGCTTTAGAATGCATTGCTTATGTGTGGGCTGAACTGTGTGCGTTTGGAACCCATGTGAGGAGCTCAGCCTTTATCAGAAGACGGGGCTTGGGCGTGATGGTTCTGGAACCTGAACCCTGGGCTGTGGGGATGCTGGGGGTTCCCAGATGTGACTCACCGGCCCGATGTTCTCACGCCTCCGTGAGGCTGACTGCTGGTGGTCTCTGTAGAGACAGACTCAGGGAAGGACTTATTGCTCCACTGGTGGTCTCACCCTGTTGAGAAGGGGGGCCTGGGGCAGTGGGAATGAGGAGAGTCTCCCTTCTGCAGATGGCAAACTCTGTCCTGAGAATTAGAGCTGAGATCAAGCATGTGTGGTCCTGAGGCTCTTCCTAGTGTGACCAGCAGAGCAGCACATCCTGGAGCATGGTGGACATTGGGGTCCCGTGTATCTCTGTCCCATCTCCTGTGTAGCTGCAGGGCTACTGTGCAGCAGCATCACCTTGGGCCCCTCCCGGGATTGCATCTAGAAGGAGGCCAGCCTGTTGCAGCTGCACTGGGGATGGGGCTGTGGTACTGTGGGTGCTTGTTCAAGCTGTGATGATTGCTTCCCCTACCCCCGATTCCTGTTTTTCAGGAGTACCAGTAAGTAGCCGGGTGTCAGCAAAAATCCAGCAGCTTGTCAATACCCTCAAACGACCGAAAAGACCACCTTTACGAGAATTCTTTGTCGATGACTTTGAAGAATTATTGGAAGGTGAGAGAACTCTTCCCCACATATTTCTTTCAGATGCTCCTGTGGTCCCATAAACAATGACACTTTTTTTACAAGGCTCTTTTACTTTTTTTTGAGACGGAGTTTCACTCTTGTTACCCAGGCTGGAGTGCAATGGCGTGATCTCAGCTCACTGTAACCTCCGCCTCCTGGGTTCAGGCAATTCTCCTGCATCAGCCTCCTGGCTAGCTGGGACTACAGACATGCGCCACCATGCCCAGCTAATTTTTTGTATTTTTAGTAGAGATGGGGTGTCACCATGTTGACCAGAATGGTCTCAATCTCTTGACCTCGTGATCTACCCTCCTCGGCCTCTCAAAGTGCTGGGATTACAGGCATGAGCCACCGCGCCTGGCCGGCTCTTTTACTTTTTAAGAGCAGTCATCTTGGCATTCACAGGATGATGGGAACCCAGGTTGGGAGGAGGTGATGTTCCCAGGCGGCCGCAGTGTTGGCAGATCTCTTACCTGGTTGTTAGTTGTCCTCTGCAGAATGTGATTTTCTTTGGTGACACAGGTCAGGTCTGTTCTCAAGAACTCTTTAAGAGTATAGAAATACAAGTAAAGTATAAAAATACTGAAAAGCAAGTAAACTGGGGAAATCCTTTGCTCTCAGCAAAACAGGCACCCTGAATGCATTTGAAGGGCCATCTCCTCCCCTCCTCCTCCTGCCTCTCCTTACAGAAGCCAGAGCTACTGCCTTTGCCTCCGAGTGCTTCTGGGTCTTTCTACACAAACAACTTAAACTTGAAACAAATAAAATAATCACTAATTGTAGCAAACTTGAGCTCCTTATTATCTTATGTGTTAAACCACAAGTAAAAACGACTGATTTTCTTGTCAGTCATAAAGTGAGAGAGGAACCTTTTCCAGAAATGGGAGCGATAATTTCCATTCTTCTCTCTCTCAAGGATTGGGCAGGTGGTATTTAACTACGACACACTGGATTTAGCTTTACTTGGGAACATACTTGCTCCATGCCCTGTTATTCAGAGTAGTTGTAGCAGGTTTGAATGTACAGCTCAGGCCAGGTGCGGTGGCTCATACCTGTAATCCCAGCACTGTCAGAGACCAAGGTGAGTGGATTACTTGAGCCCAGGAGTTTGAGACCAGCCTGGGCAAAATCCTGTCTCTACAAAAAAAAAACATATATATATTCTAAAAGTAGCTGGGCATGGTGGTAAAAGTAGCTGGGCATGATGGTGCACACTTGTAATCCTAGCTCCTTAGAAGGCTGAGGTCAGAGGTTAACCTGAGCCTGGGAGGTGGAGGCTGCAGGGAACTGTGATCATGCCACTGCATTCCAGCTAAGGCAAAAGAGAGAGACCCTGCCTCCGAAAAGAAATTTACTGTTTAGTCTTTAAGGACAAAACATAATTTAGCAAATTTAAGCAATTTGGGGTCCAAAATCACTAGTTTATCATGGAAAAAGTAGTGATGGGACCACATCCATGGCTGTTTAATTCCAGGCTTTTGGCACAATGTGGTACGCAGTTCCACCTGCTGTCAGTTTGCAGATGTGTCCAGGTCCACCGAAGTACTCCATCCACATACTATCCTGGATATTACAAGAATTGATTTTTTTTTTTTTAACCAGCATTCACGATGTTAGTGTATAGACCCCAATTATAGATAAGCATGCTTTTGTGTCAGCTAATATATGTGCACCTTAAATATAAATCTAGCTTCTTTATGAAGAATAAAAATTAGCCATGCTAATGTGGATGCATTTCTCTTGTAACCCCTTGTATTCAAATGACTTAGTTCAACAACCAGATCCAAACCAACCAAAGCCGGAGGGGGCCCAGATGCTGGCCATGCGCGGAGAGCAGCTGGGTGTGGTCACGAACTGGCCACCATCGCTGGAGGCCGCACTGCAGAGGTGGGGCACCATCTCACCCAAGGCCCCCTGCCTGACCACCATGGACACCAATGGGAAGCCCCTCTACATCCTAACTTACGGTAATCCCCAAGGCTCACCCTCTGTCCTTTGTCCATCTGCATCCTCACTTATGGTAATCCTGGAGGCTCACCCTCTGTCCTTTGTCCACTCCCATGCCTCTACATCCTCACCTACAGTTAATCTGGAGGCTCATCCTCTGTCCTTTGCCCATCCCTGTCCCTCTGCATCCTCACTTAAGGTAATCCCCAAGGCTCACCCTCTGTCTTTTGTCCATCCCTGTTCATCTGCATCCTCACTTACGGTAATCCTGGAGGCTTACCCTCTGCCCTTTGTCCATCCCTGTCCGTTTACATCCTCACTTATGGTAATCTGGAGGCTCACCCTCTGCCCTTTCCCCATCCCCTCCCTCTCCATCCTCACTTATGGTAATCCCGGAGGCTCACCCTGTCCTTTGTCCATCCCTGTCCCTCCACATCCTCACTTATGGTAATCCCGGAGGCTCACCCTCTGTCCTTTGTCCATCCCTGTCCATCTATATCCTCACTTACGGTAATCCCAGAGGCTCACTCTCTGTCCTTTATCCATCCCTGTCCATTTACATCCTCACTTATGGTAATCCCGGAGTCTCACCCTCTGTCCTTTGCCCATCCCTTGGGTAGCCACTCCCAAGCACTTGAAACTCAGTCTCCTTTATTTTGGGTGGCTGATTGATTTTTGTGCTGCCTTATGTTTCTTGCACAGAAATAAATGGAATCTAAAGAAACTTTTTAGGAAAATTATTTCAATATAAAAAGTGTGAGTAGTTGTTAATTCTTTTTTTTAGTTAACACCAGAAATGATTGCTTAAAGCAGTGACCATAACTCTAATAAGATGTTAGATCTTCTTAAATACATATGCAATTTATTGAAATGCTAAGCTTTCAATAAAGATTGCTGGTTAGAAAAATGTATATCTAAACTTTCTGATATGTATCAGAAGAAACAAAATTGGTTTCCAGAGGACTTTTTCAGAAGGACAGAGAAATCACCTTTTTCTTAAGTCTTCAGTACAATCAATACAGGCTGTAAACTTTTGGCACATGGTTGACAGTAGCAGAGAAATGTGTTTCTCTTTCTTCTGTGGATAAGAGTCCATGGAGAAGCAGATTGTCAGGCTCTTTTCTCACTTTCTGCCTCAGCTTTGCAAAGAAACTAGCTTAGTAACTAAAAGGCTGGCAGAATGGCTCATGCCTGTCTTTCCAGCTGCGGGGGAGCTGAGGCAGGAGGATCCCTTGAGCCCAGGAGTTCAAGGCTGCAGTGAGCTGTGATCGTGTCACTGCACTCCAGCCTCAGTGACAGAGCAAGACCCCATCTCTAAAAAATTAATTGGAATTTGTAAAAGATAAGAAAATAACTAAAAGACTAAAATGGTTCACATTATGTCTGTGTATGTGAGATTTATGTTGATAGTTGAAATTTTAAACATAGCTGTTTCGATTCCAGGCTCTTGGCACCTGTTGACATAGCTCCAACTGTTGTCAGTTGTAGATTTTGTTCTTAACTTTAGATTTTGTGGTGATAACACAACACTTTTTTGATTGCAGGTAGGAAAGGAATTGATTTCTACATTAGCCATGGAAGTCAGAGCCAGATGCTATATTGAATAATGGAACCTCATAGAGCCTAGCCTTTTGCATGTGGAGCTCCTGGAGGCAGCAGCTGTAGACCTGTGCCTTTCACAGCAGATGTGGGATTTGGGTCTGGGAGCACATCATTGGGTTTGGGAGCGCATCACTGGGTTTAGGAGCACATTGAGTTTGGGAGCACGTCATTGAGTTTGGGAGCACGTTATTGGGTTTGGGAGCACCTCTCTGGGTTTAGAAGCACATCTTTGGGTTTGGGAGTACATCTTTGGGTTTGGGAGCACATCTCTGGGTTTAGAAGCACATCTTTGGGTTTGGGAGCACATCTCTGGGTTTGGGAGCACATTGGGTTTGGGAGCACATCTGTGGGTTTGGGAGCACATCTTTGGGTTTGGGAGCACATCACTGGGTTTGGGAGAGCATCTTTGGGTTTGGGAGAGCATCTTTGGGTTTGGGAGCGCATCTTTGGGTTTGGGAGCATATCTTTGGGTTTGGGAGCATATCTTTGGGTTGGGAGAGCATCTTTGGGTTTGGGAGAGCATCACTGGGTTTGGGATCACATAATTGGGTTTGGGAGCACATCTTTGGGTTTAGGAGCACATCACTGGGTTTGGGAGCATGTTGGATTTAGGAGCATTTGTTTTGTAGCCCAATTTTCTTTTATGGCTTCAATGGGTAGTTTTAAATGGATAGTGTATGTCTTCCATTATGGAGCGTAAACTTTATTTTTTTAATTATGCTCTCAGAAATAGGTTTTTTTTTTTTTTGGTCAAAAGGATGAAAGACTTTTCTGTGTGACCCTCATCTCTGGCCAAATTCGGCCCTGGAGCTAATTGTGTACTTGGAGTCGCTGCTGCATGACAGCTGATGGCCGCCAAGGTCTTCCTGCCTATATGCAGGGAATTCCAGGAGCAGCCGTACGTTCACGGGTGCATGCATTCACTCTGAGAAGTAACAGATGTTCTCTTGGATATGTTAAGCATGCACTATTCATTGTCACAGAACTGAGGTTTGGGATCAAAAATGAATAAGACACAGTTCTTACGGGGCTTGTGATCTTGAACAGAAGCATCACCCCTTGCATTGAACAGCGGAGCAGTGTTGGTGTCTTTCCTCTTCCTGCAAGGTTAGGATGAATTGGAGATGTAAGACACAGACTGACCATTACATATGTAAAGTTGGATTCGTCAGAACTCATGCCCACAACCAGTGCATTTTAACTCCTCCTTTTAAATCATCTATATTTTGTTGTATTTTAATTATCCGTATTAATTGCAGGCTGTGGGTTGATCTTGGTTTTTACTTTAAAGGAATATAAGAAAGGAACATGTTCCCAGATACAAGATTACAGCTTATGGGATGAAAATGCAGTAACATGGTGGAAAGTGCCATCTATGTAGAAACACTAACGTGGATGAATGAGTGATTGGCTGTTGCTAAGGAGACTCAGAAACAAGCTCATCAAATGAGAATTGTTGTAATACTGAGTAATTTCGTATAACTAAAGGGCTGTACTATCTAAAGTCTTGCAGTTTCAACCCCCAAATCTAGCTTTCTGTGAAGCACTGGGGTAGCAGAATTCCTAGCTGATAAACCTCAGGATCATCAATAGAAGGTATAGGTGGCTAATGAAAGTTAACCACAAGTGAATAAACTTGTAAAACATCTATAATTCTGGTTTCCACTTTAGACTACACATGGCATTACATAATCTTAATAAGAGTAAGTCATGCTGTGCAGTTAATACCTTTTAGCATGTCCTACCTCGCAGAAGCTTTTCAGTACATTCTTCCTCTGCTACCTCTGTGGTTTTCAGGAGAGACCTATGAGTTCATTTTGCTTTCTCTACCAAGCCAATGCTCATGTTTATCTCCCTTTTTATGTTTTATTTACTTATGGTTGACTTTTGCTCCAGATGTTTCAAGAAATCTATATGCTTGAACTAGCAGAGCAGCCAGCCACCTTTCTATGGCCTTTCTGCTTTTTGCATGATTGAGGGTGTGTCTCTCAAGCTCCTGCCTTGTACCCAGGCTTGCTCTGGATCAGCCTGTCATCACCCACTGCCTCGCCCCTCAGCAGTGACACACTCTGTACAGTTGCCTGTTCCTCAGTCAAAGCCAAGGGAAATTATAATTAATATCTAATACAACAGTGCTTACATCACACACATCTCCTTTATGCATCAGTTAAGAGCTGCTGTATCTTTATATCAGCAGCTTAACGTTGTGACTTTTCTCTTTGAGAAGTATAAAAATACCAACTATATTTCAAGAATTTTGCCAAAAGTTTGCATGTGTTTTAGCCTTTTCAAAGTCTCTATTGTAAACTAGCATCTGTATGAACTTGGGATTTCAAGACTCTTAGCTGAGAATGGAGTTGAAACTTTCACAAACTATAATGGTGCTAATTGAGTGTAATTGATTTATTCAGTAACAACACATTGTTTTTCTTTCATTTGCAATGAATTGATTGTAATTGTTTACCCAACTATAATAGTTCCCTAATCTTGTTCACATTAAAGAAATCTAAAGCCACAAAATAACTGTTTTTGTTGGGGGAAAAATACTCCTGAGTTACATCTAATGAGCCAGTGATTGTTTTCAGGAAAAGAAAATCCTCAAATGGAATTCCACATGACTGTAAAGCTGCCAGTCTTGAAGACTGCCCATGGTGTTGAGGATGAGAAGTTAAAGAAGATGGGAGGAGGGAACATGAATGAAAGTGTCTGTCTAGCAGTGACGTGCTCAGGCATATGCTAGAATGCACACTGTAACTTTGTACTTCATTATGGTTCGCCTGTGATATTAGAAAAATGAAGAAACATTGGCGAAGCACACACTATGAACAAGAAGTGTTCTAGGAACTAGAGCAATCAGAGATAATCATTCTCTTTGCTCTCATTAGTAAGGAGTTAAATCCTGTGGTAGGCAAATAATAACACTAATCTGAGGAGCTCTCATTCCGATATGAAATAAATTCAGAGTTTTGAAATTTGCACTGTGTTATAGACAACAAAATCTTTGATTTAGTGTTTACATTTAAAATAGGGAAAAGATTAAAACTGATTGCATTGAAACAGAAAATAGTTAAGATTGCTGTTACCTTTATTACCCTATTATTATGTCTTCTGACACCTTGACTACCAAGAAGCTCTCACAGATGCAGTCCTGAGACTGGGTTGTAAAAGGCCATGGTGTATTTAAGAACTCACTTTAGGCTTTAAAGTCATTGTTTGATCTCTGACTGCTCACCCGACCTGATAATGCTGAGGACGTGTCTGGTGTGGACAAGGCTGGGATGTGAAGGAGGTGGGTTCTTCAGAGCCAGGCCCTTTTTCTAAAGTGTTTGTTTTTAATCTTGCTTTGTGGTAATGTTTTTAGAGTTCAGAAATTTTAAATAATTTCAAATATTTACCGTTATCTGAATCCAAGGATTTGTGATTAAACACCCTAAACTCCTGAGGTTAGGAAAGTTTGAAGGTGAGAAACGCAGGACTTGGGGAGGGAAAGAGGCTGTTTGGAGTGAGCCTCTCAAGGTGGTTTTCTGCTCTGTGTTCATCACACTCACGTGAGACCGGCTGTGGACGAGGGACATATCACCATGCGTGACATGTGGCAGTGACGCTGTTGTGGGGACCCCCCAGGACTTCCTCCAGAGACCCTTCCCCATGGTTTCTGTACTGATAATTGGCATTTTCAGTGGCTTTGCTGCAGGCACTTCACACACTGAGAGGGCATTTGTTTTGTGCTGGCCTTGTTCGAGCGTCAAGGCAGCTCTGACTGTCAGAGTTGGAGTTAGTGCTTTTACTCCAGGGACTCAGGATGAGTTCAATCTTTGATCTTCAGGAAGAGGGTTCTCAGGGCTCCTCCATTCCCTGGTAGTGTCATCTCAGCTGGGCAGATACCAGCCCTGTGACGGTGCGTATACTGTCAGCACCTCCCACCCCATCACAGACAGATCAGAAGACTGGCCAGTGCTTGCTTTTCACTTGTTATTTTCATTCTCTCCTGAAGTTTTGTCTTTAGAACCCCTGCTGCTTTTCTGCTTTCACTCAGTTTCTACTCTCGCCTACCAGTTCCCCCTTTGCTCAGCTGTCCTCAATTCAGGTTACTTGCAGACCATGATACGCAGGAAGCAGAATGGACGCATGTCCTAGACGTGGGTTTGGAGAAGCAGTGCTCTCCTATGATTTAACATGCACACTTGTCTGTGATTTGTATTCGTAGGCAAGCTGTGGACAAGAAGTATGAAGGTTGCTTACAGCATTCTGCACAAACTAGGCACAAAGCAGGAACCCATGGTGCGGCCTGGAGACCGGGTAAGTGCAATGTAAATTGCTGGATCCAGAAAACACACAGTCCTGTGTGGAAAGGTGCCTACTGTTAATTCCAGAGTTCAGCGCTGCCGCGGCCACTCTCCATTGGAAAGCAAATTTTTATTCTTACCTTCGGCCTGGTTAAGCTACACAGGGCAGATACTATTAATAGTGTCTCCATTCTAATGTTACATCCTGAGCAGGTTGTGGTCTTGTTCACACTTTATACCCGAGTCTAGATGTGGGGCTTGGTTTAGGACCTGGTTTTCTTGCATTTACGTGTAGAGCCTCTTTATGTGCTTTAGATGCCCCAAGCTTAGATTATCCTGCCTAAAGGACTCCAAGTGAATTACATAAATACATCATTTAGAGCTCCATAAACCAATAAGAGCACGACCTTTGATGACTTCAGCAGTACTATAAAGGCATGAGTCTGCTGTGGGGCGTGTTCCACAGATCGTAGCAGCTCCAGGAGACTGTGGTAGACTGGGATTCTTCCCATTTTTTACTGAACACGTTTGGCCTTTAACTTTTAAAAGTAAATTGTAGGAGTCATATTTCCTGATGACGAAATTGACTGCAGAGCTGTAATAATCACAACAATGTGGTACTGGCTTACAGATAGGCATGTAAACCAAGGGAACAGAATGAAGAGCCTAGATATAAACTCTCATGGATATGGACAAGTGATATCTAGCAGGGTGCAAAGATACTCAATGGGGAAAGGACAGTCTTTCCGACACACAGTGCTGGGAAAATTGGATATCCACCTGCAAGAAAATGAAGTCAGACATTTACCTAATGTCATATGTGAAAAATTCACTCAAAATGGACCAAATATGAGAACTAAAACCAAATGTAAGAGCTAAAACCAAAACTTGGAAGAAAAAGTAAAATGGAAGAGCTGAAACCAAAACTTGGAAGAAAACATAAAATGCCTCAGAAAATATAGAGAAAATACCTCATGGCATTGGATTTGGCAACAGTTTCTTGGATATGATACCAAAAACACAGGCAACAAAAGAAAAAATAAATTGAACTTTGTTTAAATTAAAAATGTTTGTACGTCAAAGAGCACTATCAAGAGAGTGAAAAGGCAACCTACAGAATGGGAGAAAATGTTCGCAAATTATCTTCCAATAGATTAATATCCAGAATATTTAAAGAATTCCTACAACTCGCCACCACCACCAAAAGAAACGATAAAAATGTTTAAATGGGCCAGAGACTTGAATACACGTTTCTTCAACTAAGATTTGCCAATGGCCAATAAACACATGAAAACCTACTCAGCATTGCTGATCAGGGAAATGCTAACCAAAACCTCAGTGAAATGCCACTTGACACCAAGATGGATGGTAATTACCAAACCACAGAAAAGGGCACGTGTTGGCAAGGATGTGGGGAAATTGGAACCCTTGTGTGTTGCTGGTGAAAATGTAAAATGGTACAGCCTCTGTGAAAAACATTATGACAGTCCCTCAAAAAATTAAACATAGAATTACCATTTGATCCAGCAATTCTCCTGGGTATGTACCCAAACGGATTGAAAACAAGGTCTAGAAGAGATACTAGAACACTCAGGCTCAACAGCCTACTCAGAAAACCAAACAGTAGAAGCAACCCCAAATACATGGAACAGGATGTGGATTTCCCTTTAGAAGGGAGGACATTCTGGCACATACTACATGGATGAGCCTTGAAGAAGTGATGACTAGTAACATAAGCCAGACACAAAGCAAGTATTGTGTGATTCACTCATATGAGCTTAATTGCCCAGTGGGTTCACCTTGCCCGCTGCCTGACCAGAGCCAATTTATCTAGATGGGAATTGCAATGGAGAAAGAGTAATTAATGCAGAGCTGGCTGTGCGAGAGACAGGAATTTGATCTCCAAGCCTTTGAGGATCAGATCAGAGTTTTTAAGGATAACTTGGTAGGAAGTGGGGAGTGCTGACTGGTCAGGTTGGAGATGGAATCATAAAAGGTCTAAGCCAGTTTTTCCTGCTGTCTTCTATTCCTGGGTGGCATCACTGAACTGGGTGAGCCAGATGACCTGTCTGGGTGGTATCAGCTACTCCATCAAGTATAAGGTCTGCAAATTATCTCAAGCCCTGATCTTAGGTTTTACAATAGTGATGTTATCCCCAGAAGCGATTTGGGAGGGTCAGACTGTTGGAGCCAGAGGCTGTATGACCCCAAATGGTAATTTCTAATCTTGTAGCTAATTTGTTAGTCCTGCAAAGGCTGACTGGTCCCCAGGCAAGAAGGGGGCCTTTTTGGGAAATGGCTATTATCAGTTTTGTTTCAGAGTCAAACCATAAACTGAATTCCTTCCCAAGGTTAGTCTGGCCTACACCCAGGAATGAACAAGGACAGCTTAAAGGTTAGAAGCAAGATGGAGTTGGTTAGGTCTGATCCCTTTTACTGTCATAATTTCTGCGGTTACAGTTTTTGCAAGGGTGGTTTCATGAGGTGCCTAGAGTAGTCAGACTGTAGAGAAAGAAAGTAGAAAGGTAGGTGCCAGGGTCTGGGGGAGGGGAATGCAAAGTGATGTTTAATAGGGACAGAGTTTCGGCTTGGGAAGATGAGAAGGCTCTAGAGATGGCTGGTGAGGGTGGTTGTACAACACTGTGATTGTAATTAATGCTACCAAATTCTGCATGTAAAAATTGTTAGAAACATAAATGTTGTGTTGCCACAACAATGAAATGGCAGTTGTCATGGACTATCTCCTTTATCTGTAATGTGGTTCACAGTCTTAATAGTTTTTTAAAAAATTCTTTAGTAGGATGGCCTCCAGATTCTTAAAGTTTCCATATAATAATAATCACAAAATAAACTCCTCTGTTCCTCTAAGATGTCAGTAGGGATACAGGAGCACAGTTTGAATGAAATACATAAAGAGGTTTTTTTTGGGCAGGGATTGGTTTGGCTTGGTGGGTCAGCCCCTTTAGAAAAAATGGCTACTTTTCTAAAATTTTTCTTACAAAAGAGTATCTGAGAAGGCTTCTCGAAAAAGATGAGCCTATAGCTCTTGGGCAGGTACCAGGAAGTAGTGTGGAAGGTGCTGAAGCATTCACCTGGACAGTGGGGCCGGCTGTGTGCAGAGCCCTGGAGGGCAGCTGGGAGGAAGCTGGGAGTCCTTCCGCTGGAAAGGCCTTTGCTCTGCTGAGGAGGCTGGGCTTGTATCTCCTGACTGGCTGATGCCTCCTCTGTGAATCATCAGGTGCAGTCAACTATCAGAGAAGCACACAGAGGATTGAGTGGAGGGAAGCCATATGGGTTGACAGAAATCAAGCATCTTTGCATTCGTAGAGTATTGTTTTGGGATCACTATGGGGGTACCAATAAAACCGGATTTGTGACTGATTCACATATTGAAGGAATGCCTAACAAAAATGATGTAAATACAAACTTTTTTCCTAAAACAAATTGCAAAAAAATTCTCAGTTTTGATGCCAAAAGAACGTTTAAGTATTTGACCCTTTCTCTCCATTACTTGTATTGTCGCATCCATACAATAATGTACAATTTTATATTTTGCTTTATTAACTTTTCACATTTCAGTACAACTCTGCAATGGTCTATAATATGGAATTTTCAGCATTAACTCTGAATAGTGATAAACCAGTGATAATTTTAAACCCTTGGTAGGGAAGAACTTTTGAGCAGAGGTGCCGGGAGAGGAGCCAGACTGGAGGTGCTTCTCGGGGGAGGGTTGATCGCAGTCTGGCTGTGAGGATGACAGGTATCCTCTTCAGTTCAGCTGTGTGCCTTGGTGAAGACTGTACCTCCAGAGCTGGTATTCTGGGAAGAATAATGAGTCAGAATTGAAGGCGTTCTTTATGAATGCATGCAACCATCAATTTTGGATGGAACTTCAACACCTTCTGAATTGTCAAACTTAGTTTCCTGGTATTTTTTGGTCTGCCTTATGGGAAGAAGCAGTGGCAATATGGAAATCTTATATTTAACTGAATACTGTTTGTTCAAGATCTGAAAAACATGCCATCAGCTCTCAGTCCATCAGATGACACTCATGACTAGTATAAACTCAGCTCTGCATGAGTTACTCTTTCTCCATTACAATTCCAGTCTAGATAAATTGGCTCTGGCTAGGTAGTTTTAAAAAAGAATTGGTTGTGGCTTATCTGTATAGATGTGCAAATCATTTCATTCCTTTTCTAACTCTTACTTAGCAGATTGTAGTGGACTGTAGAAATGCCACACAGAAAGGAAATATTCATAGAATCCAGAACTTGATTTTGTGTCTACCAGTTTCCTGCATCTCGGCCTTTCCAGCATGGCCTGTCCCCTCTCAACGATCATCTGGATCCTTTCATGTCAGCCTGCTTGCTTAAATACAGAGATTATCAGGATGTTTGTCTAAAGCTGTTCACAATGAAATTAGTTCTAGTTAGGACATTTTTAATAAAAGTTGTTTCAGTTCAAGAATGAGGGCTGGTATGGTGGCTCATACCTGTAATTCCAGCATTTTGGGTGGTCAAGGCAGGCAGATCACCTGAGGTCAGGAGTTGGAGACTAGCCTGACCAACATGGTAAAACTCTGTCTCTACAAAAAATATTTAAAAATTGGCTGGGTATGGTGGCACACGCCTGTAATCCTAGCTACTTGGGAGGCTGAGGCAGGAGAATCACTTGAACCTGGGAGGTGGAGGTTGCAGTGAGCTGAGATTGCATCAGTGTATTGCAGCCTGGATGACAGAGCAAGATTCCATCTCAAAAAAAAAAGGTAATGCAAAAATGATGCATATGTGCTGAATCATAGGATTCATGTACTGATGAAAACATACCAAACTTGTCCATGTGGAAGAATAACACTAAAGCTACCAGTAACCTATGTTAAAATAGAAGCAGAGTTCTGCAGGACATAGTGGGAATCCAGAAATACAGTTGTCTATTAAAACTCTGTCATTGAAGGAAAATTGTTCTTCCTCAGGATACACCATACTGTTAAGGACTATCAGAAAACATTTAGAAATTATATTGGCCAGGCACACTGGCTCACATCTGTAATCCCAACGCTTTGGAGGGGCTAAGGCAGGAGAATTGCTTGAGGCCAGGAGTTAGAGGCCAGCCTGGGCAACATAGCAAGACCCCATCTAAAAATATTTTTTGAAAATTAGCTGGCTGTGGTAGGGCCCACCTGTAGTCCCAGCTACTCAGGAGGCTGAGGCAGGAGGATCACTTCAGCCCAGGAGTTCAAGGCTGCAGTGAGCTATGATTGTGCCACTGCACTTCAGTCTGGGCAATAGAGTGAGAATTTGTTTCTTAAAAAAAAATCATACTATCTATTAGGTACCAGTATTACTTGATGATAATTTACATTAACCACACTTTTAGAACTCTGTGACAAATCTACTTTTAGGAACTTGATTCCAAAGAGAAGCTGAGCTAGGCAGAATGAGTTGGTGTCACATACAGGCAGCTACACAGGGAGGACTTTGCTGCCAGGGCAGGGCCACAACACATGCATGTGTGTGGCATCCGGTGACTGACAGTGCTGCCAGCCCCAGTGCCAGTCACTTAGTGTATACCACCTCATGCCGTGTGTCAGGCATCCCTGAGCTCTCTATATTCTCTCATTTGACCTTTACCAAACATTAAGACATAGGCTCTATCATCTTTCTCACTTTTGAGAGAAGAAAACTAAGGCTTAGAGAGGCTACAGTTGTGCCTGAGATTCCAGAGCTAAGCACTAACATGGGATCTGAGTTGAGTCCTGTGTACGGCTTAATGAAGAACTGTACAACCATCCCATGACAGTTATGAAGACTCTGTAGAAACACAAGGAAGCATTTACAAAGCTTGGTGAGCAACAGTAGGCTATAACTTCATTGTGTGAAAACGTGTGGGTGTGGATGCAGAAAAAGGCAGTTGTGCTCTGGTGACGGTGTCATAGACGATTGTCCACGTGTTTGTCTTCTACGTGAATTAAAGGCAAGGCATGTGATGCTTACTAAAATACAGCTTACTGCAATGCATCTTACATAGGGCACCTGATTTTCACTGAGGCATGCCCTCTTACCTAGAACCAGGCTCTTCTGCGGCGTCTTAGGAAGCCAGGATCCCACATTAACGCTGACCCCGCTCTGCCTGTCCTACAGGTAGCGCTGGTGTTCCCCAACAACGACCCGGCTGCCTTCATGGTGGCTTTCTACGGCTGCCTGCTGGCAGAAGTGGTCCCTGTGCCCATCGAGGTGCCGCTCACGAGGAAGGTAAGGAGCGTGCCCTTTGGTTGGTCTCACCGGGTGACATGGTTTTCATGGTGGCAGTCTCCTAGTAGGGTGAAGGCCTCCTGGCTGTTCCTGAGACACTGGGTTTCCTTTGGTGGCCTCAGTAAGGGGTGTGGTCACTAGTGGCCCCCACAGCTGGGATGGGTGCCCCCAAGGTGGAGTACAGCTTTGGGGTCAAATGTGTAGCAGCAGCATCTTGGTCAGTAAAGCAAGGGTGTTTGAGAATCCTGTTCCTTGGTGTCATGTGCACTAGAATTGGGGTAAATAATAGTAAATTTATTATTTTTTGAACAATGGTGGATGCTGCTTTTGTTCAGGTGTTTTCACGTTATCCAGTCCCAGGTTGACCTGTGACTTGTCAAATCTTATTCTATAATTAAACAACTAAACTTACTATTATAATTATTGTTTAATCCAATATAAAAAAGATTAATATGCATTGTAAATCAAAAAATATTTGAGTTAGGTCTCAATTTAGAATTGTATTTTGCCAAAATTAAGGACATGGCCCTGACACAGCTTCAGGAGGTCCTGAGACCATGAGCCAAGGTGGTGAGGCTGCAGCCTCAGAGGTCCTGAGAACATGAGCCAAGGTGGTGAGGCTGCAGCTTCCGGAGGTCCTGAGAACATGAGCCAAGGTGGTGAGGCTGCAGCCTCAGAGGTCCTGAGAACATGAGCCAAGGTGGTGAGGCTGCAGCCTCGGGAGGTCCTGAGAACATGAGCCAAGGTGGTGAGGCTGCAGCTTCCGGAGGTCCTGAGAACATGAGCCAAGGTGGTGAGGCTGCATCCTTGGAGATCCTGAGAACATGAGCCAAGGTGGTGAGGCTGCAGCCTCGGGAGATCCTGAGAACATGAGCCAAGGTGGTGAGGCTGCAGCCTTGGAGGTCCTGTGAACATAAGCCAATGTGGTCAGGCTGCAGCCTTGGAGGTCCTGAGAACATGAGCCAAGGTGGTCAGGCTGCAGTTTGGGTTTATACATTTTAGGGAGACCTAAGACATTAGTCAATACATGTGAGACGCATGTTGGTTTGGTCTAAAAAGGCGGGACAGCTTGAAGCGGAAGTTGGGGCCTTCCAGGTCACAGGTGGAATCTAAGATTGTCTGATTGGCAGTTGGTTGAAAGAGTTCATTTAAAGCCCTGGAATCAATAGAAACCAGTGTCTTAGGGTTAGGGGTTGTGAAGACTAAGATTTTCATTATGTGGATGAAGCCTCCAGGTAGCAGGCTTCAGAGAGAATAGATGTCAATGGTTCTTATCAGACTTAAAAAGGTGCCACACTTAGTTAGATCTCCCCTGGATCAGGAAGAGGACCTAGAAAGGGAAGGAGATTCTCTACACAATGTAGAGTTTCCCCACAAGAGAGAGCTTTATAGGATGATTTCAAACTACGTCAAAGAAAACTATTTTGAGGTAAAATACTTTTATTTCTTTCAGGGCCCGCTATTTGTCATGTTGGTATCTTATTGCTACAAAGAGTCTGTTTAATGCCATTGCTGGTCAGCTGTACCTGAATTTCAGAGGACAAGGGTGTCAGGCACATCCGACCCATCCTCCCCTTCATGGCTGAACTGGTTTTTCAGGTTAACTTTGGAATGTCCTTGGCTGAGGGAAGAGGTCTCTTCAGTTGGTTGAGGGGCTTAGAATTTTATTATTGGTTTACTCTACATATCAATATAAGGTTGTCGTCCATGTGGATAGTTTGTTCCTCTGTGAAGCAGAGTTAGGGTAACTTTAAGAGACATAAAGTGGAGTGGCTGCAGTGCAGGTCATGCCGCTGTTCCCCGTAGGATGGCCAGTCCTGTGGGAGTAAGCCAGCACTATGCGCCCTGAGGGACCACCGGGTCTGAACCTGTGATGTGCCTGTGGACACTTCCTGGAAACCATCAGCTCCCTTCAGTGCACTGCTTTTTTGTTTTTTTGAGATGGAGTCACTCTGTCTCCCAGGCCTGAGTGTAGTGGCACAATTTCAGCTCACGGCAATCTCTGCCTCAAGAGTTCAAGTGATTCTCCTACCTCAGCCTCCCAAGTAGCTGACACATGTAATCCCCTGACACAGGGGATTACAGGTGTGCCCCACCACGCCTGGCTAATTTTTATTTTTTTAATAGAGACAGGGTTTTGTTATGTTGGCCAGGCTGGTCTTGAACTCCTGACCTCAGGTAATCTGCCTGCCTTAGCCTCCCACAGGGCTGGAATTACAGGCGTGAGCCACTGTGTCAGGCCCCTTCAGCACATCTTTAATGAGTGTACCATGTGAGTGACTCTTCTAGCTCTAAAGGCAGCAATCACTGGTAGCCCAGGCTAAGAGTTTACAAAGGAACTTCTGGTTGTCTTTGTGGCTACTCCAACATGAAAGTTTGTTGATTCAATATTTAAGAAAACTGTCTGCCTCCTCTCGGAACATATCTTGGGTATCTCTTCAGAGTCTGTGCCAGTTATATGGTTGCGTTTCAAACTCTGCCCCTTGGATGAGGAGGGAGAGAACATGGGGTTCCTTTTGGAAACGGGAAAGAGGATTGCTATTTTCATTTCCTGTGTACAATGCCAGGAGGTTCATGCTTGGCTTCCTGTGTGTGTGTGTCCAGCATAGCTCCCCTCAAGCAGGGGCGGGGGTGTCTATGGTAGCTACTATGGGAGAATGTGTTTCCCCTGATTTGCAACCTGCACGCCACGTGTGCCTCAGACATTTCCCTGGGTCCTGTGGTCATCACAGTATTTGAGAAAAGTGGAAAGGACTGGAGGATTCCCTAAGTGTGACAGCTGTGATCTCTCAGTGCCTTAGTTTAACCCCCATCCTGGGATCTAGTGAGGGGTTTATGCAGCTCCTCTTCAGCTGATGTTCATGTCAGTGGTTAGAGGCTCTCTGGACATGCTCTGAGGTCTCTAAGCAACAGTGAAATGATGATTTGCAGGAACTTGTAGGCATGAGCATATGGAGACTCCTTCAATAACCAGACACAGAACATGTGTCATTGTTATTTGTAACAATTTTTTCTTTTCTTCACTTTAACAATTTGTATTTGTCCATGTTAAGTGTATAGCCTGGTGTCCTCCACACCAGGCTGGTGTGCAAAGGAAAATAATTTGGATGAAGGTGGGAGGTGGTTTTCCTGAGCAAGTTCAAGTGCTTTCTGGTTGGCAGAAATGCCATCCTGTTATCTGAAATCCTGGGCATAGCTCCAAATAGCACTGATGCAGATTTTTTAGAAATTCCAAGGTGGCATTTATTTCAGCCATGAAATGTTTCACCGTAACACATGTTTAAGATCCTTTGAAATAACAAAGGTAAGCACCTTTGAATGGTGATAGAGATGTAAGCTGTCCAGTTTGAACAGATTAGAAATCTAAGGGCACGTGGCTGAGAAGCTGTGTCAGTGTTGGTGGAGGAGGAGAGTTTTCCTCCCCCGCAGGACGACCGGACAGTCTCCTGAGCTGAGAGCCCCTTGCACCCCAGTAGAGGCTGCAGGTTCACTGTGCACAGGATGGGGTCCGCGTGGGGATGGGGGCATCTCAGGGGGACTCTGTGTGGTCAGAGGGCAGGGAGCACAGCAAGAGAACAGGGTGGGGACATCTCAGGAGAACAAGACTTCTCATGCTGGGAGGTCCCTGAGGACTTAGGTGTCAGTGACTGTAACCTACACGGGTGATGAGGATGTGGAGATGCCAGTATAGAGCCCCTGCCTGTCCCTCACTCACCTCTAGGGCCCTCCGTGGACGCAGTTTTATTACCAAGCATGATTAGCACCAAAACCCTTCTCAGAAGAAATGGTTGACATTCCTGCCTTGCCCTCTATGTGCCAATATAACCGTGAGGTGGCTTTGCCTGCAGATGTCGCAGGCTATGCAGAAAGCTGTGGAGAATGCACAGATGTTAACAGGGCATTTGGAAACCTTTACTATGCAGACCAGTGGTCCTGGGATAGAATTCTAGGGAAGCCACAAGTGATTTCACAGGTATAGAAGACAGACCTCCCCAAAGGCCGAGACTCTCAGTTCTAAAGACTATGACTTGAGTTTATTTTTCAAATAGTATTTTAACAGACAAATCATATACATTTATGTGGTACAGTGTGATACTTTGATATACGCATACAAAGAATGTTTATCAAACTGATTAATATATTTGTTAACTTGCTTACTCCTCATTTTTTATGATGAGATATTTGGAATTTACTCTTAGTTATTTTGAGATGTACATTACATTTTTGTTGACTATAGTTACCCCACTGTGCCGTAGATCTCAAAATGTCTTCCTCCAATCTGAGGCTTTGTCTCTTCTGACCAACGTCTCCCCATCTCCTCCCTCCCCAGCCCCTGTGGTCACCTTTCTGTTCACCACAAATGCCATGCGTAGATGAGGTCTTGCGGCATTCCTCTCTGTGGCTGGCTTATTTCCCATAGAGTAATGTCCTCTGGGCCAGCACACGGCAGGCTTTCCTCCTCACTGAAGGCGGAATAGCACCGGTTCTGCCTCCATTCATCAGTCGTTGGGCTCTTTGGTTGATTTCTCTTCTTGGCCCTTGTGTGTAACCCTCCAGTGAATGTGGGGATGCAGATAATCTCCTGAATTCCAGATCGATTTCAGTTCCTTTGGCTAAATGCCCAATAGCGAGATTGCTAGATCATATGGTAGTTGTATTTTTAGTTTTTTTGTTAGAAACCTCCGCACCATTTTCCATAATGGCCGTACTAATTTGCATTCCCACCAACAGTGTGCAAGGGTTTTCTTTTTGCTGCGTCCTCACCAACAGGTATTTTTCCTCTTTTTAATAAAAGCCATGATAACCAATGTGAGCAATATAAGGTGATGTCTCCTTGTGGTGGTTTTTGGTTTGGTTTGTTTTTTGTGTTTTCTTGAGAGGGAGTCTTGCTCTGTCACCCAGGTTGGAGTGCAGTGGCGCGATCTCCGCTCACCGCAACCTCCGCCTCCTGGGTTCAAGCAGTTCTCCTGCCTCAGCCTCCCGGGTAGCTGGGATTACAGGCACGTGCCACCATGCCCAGCTAATTTTTGCATTTTCAGTAGAGACGGGGTTTCACCATGTTGACCAGGATGGTCTCGATATCCCGAACTCGTGATCCACCCGCCTCGGCCTCCCAAAGTGCTGGGATTACAGGCGTGAGCCACTGCGCCCGGCCCAATTTTTATAGTTTTAGTAGAGAGAGGGTTTAGCCACTTTGGTCAAGCTGGTCTTGAACTCCTGACCTCAAGTGATCTGCCTGCCTCAGCCACCCAAAGTGCTAGGAGGCATGAGCCATCATGCCTGGCTTCCTTGTGGTTTTAATTTGTGTTTCCCTGATGATTAGTGATGTCAAGCAACTTTTCATGGATGTGCTGGTCATTTGTGTGCCATCCTTTGAGAAATGTGCCTTTAGAATATGGCAGTTTGTTGGTCTTAGAGAACTTTTTTTATTTTTAACTGAAGGAATTCATTGGCTGTGGTGCAATGCAAAATGAGCATATTAGTGTAGTGACAAGTATGTGAACCCTAATATTTCTTTCATCTGCCAGTCCTACAGCCACTAGAAGAGTCTTAGAATACAGGCCCTGATGAGAACCTAGTTTTCTGAATGGTGCTGGGAGGATTCTTGCTAGTCACACTTTCCTGAAGCATGGCACCTGTTTCCTGGAGCTGGCCTCTGATCCAGCCAGACTGAGGTCGGCGCCACTTTTCCAAGGACAGAGGACTGAAGCCTGTGAATCAAGAAAGCCATTGCCACTAGTCTAGGTGCAGCTGGTCTGACCGGTCTTTGGGTCACGTGCAGAGGCTGTGAGGCCCACCAAGGACCCATAGCCCTTTGCTGCTGGTGCTGTGTGCAGGAACCACCTGTCTGGTCCCTTTTTTAATTGAGCGATTCTGTGTGTGTGCATGCACATGTATGCGTGGGCATGTGTGTGTGAATGCATGTGTATGAATGTGCATGTGTGTGTTCATGGGCACATGTGTGCATGAGTATGTGTGCATGTGTGTGCACACTTGTGCATGGGCATCTGTGTGCATGCGTATGTGTGTGTCAATGTATGTACGCATGTGTGTGCATGGGCATGTGTGTGTCGATGTGTGCCCATGTGTGCATGGGCACATGTGTGAATGTGCACATGTGTGTGCATGGGCACCTGTGTGTGAATGTGTGCACGTGCATGTATGGGCACGTGGGAGTTTGTGCATATGCGTCTGCATGGGCACTTCTGTGAATGTGTGTGCACACGTGTGTGTGCATAGGCATCTGTGGATGAATGTGTGCATGCGTGTGTGTGCATGGGCACCTGTGTATGAATGTGTGCACACATGTGTATGGGCACATGTGTTTGTGCACATCTGCATGGGCACCTGTGTGTGAATGTGTGTGAGCATGTGTGTGCATGGGCACCTGTGTGTGTGTTGAAGGCTTACTGGGACTGCCTCCCACATGGGTGTGCAGGGTGAGGCACGGTAAGGGCTGTTTTGTGCATGCTGGCTAGGCCTGGGCAGAGTTGTGCTGAGGACTGACGTCTGATGGGGCTGCGGGGGCACTATGTGATGAGGAGAAGGAGGCCCAGCCTTACCATGGCTGAATCACAGCTACATCCCCCCCAGGCCTGCTGCTCCTGTGGTTTTTGGTCTCTTCCTTAATTTTTAGGGGTCTTTTTATGTGTGTGATTTTATCACTTGAGAGATCAAATCATGGGCAAACACTACAAAGGCAGGGTTTAGGGAAAGCTTGGCTCCTGGCCTGAGTTCACCCACAGCCATGAGCGACTGGCTTCAGCCCTTCCTCCGTCTTGTGACTGTCACACATGTGCTTCTGCCTCGGCTGGGTGCTTTCTGGCTCAGTGGAGCCGCCTTCCTGCTGTGGAAGCTGATGTCACCCCACCTGTGCCCATCACCTTTGCAGAGTTGGGGCATTTTCTAATGTGATGCTGAGATTCACATAAAAGTAACAAATCATGGCTTTACTTGAGCGAGCACTGCCTGCAGGAAAAGCACCACAAGGCATCACTGAAGTGGGTTCTGTCAGCTGAGCTCCCCATGGCCAGACCTCGTGGAGTTGCTTTGTGTGTGCACTGGTTGGTTGGCCTGTTTGGTTATTGCTCCGTGAAAATTCCACAGAGAGGCGTTTTCACTGTCGATTTAAATCTACAATACGAAAAGTACTAACTAAGCACTTAAGAGACTACAGCTTTGAAATTTTAATGCTGCCTAATTTACCCAGGTGAAAACACCAGTCTTCATCTCCTGTTTTCCATTATCAGGGAGCAGGTGGGAAGATCCACAGCCAGGCCTCTGGTCACCAACAGAAACTGGGCTGTGCAGGCTCCACGCTGGGGTGGTTCACCCTCGGGGTGGTGGGGGGACCACACAGCCGTCTGGGGAGTGAAAAGGGGTGACCTGTGGGTCCACGCTGGGGGGCCGTGCTGGGCGACCACACGGCCATCTGGGGAGTGAAGAGGGGACTTGTTGGGGTCTATGCTGGGAGGTCCACACAGAGCCATCTGGGGAGTGAAGAGGGATGACTTGCTTACTGTGTGGCATTTTTAGTTCCTGAAATCCTGGCTGTTTTGGAGCTTTCAGATTATTTTATGAATCAAATAATGGAAACCCCATGCAGCTGGCACAACTGGTGGGCATAGAGAGAGTGATGTGAGCACCTTGGCTGTTCTCCCACCTGCCTCCAGGCAGCTGGACAGGAGTGAGGACTGGCATGGGCATGGTTGCTCCCTGGCTGCTGCAGCCAAGGGAGTCCCGTCTGCGCAGGTCTGACCTTCCAGAACTGCTGCTGGCAGTCAGGAGCCACCTGTACCCGTATCTCCAGTGCGGCTGCACAGCAGTGACCCGTTTCGGCAAGTTTAGTTACTTCTCTGAGACCAGGCATGCTCAGGATGAGGAAAGGGCAGACCGGGTGTGCCCAGGGTGAGGAGGGAGCAGTCTGGGCATGCCCAGGGTGAGGAGGGGGCAGTCTGGGCATGCCCAGGGTGAGGAGGGGGCAGACTGGGCGTGCTCAGGCTGAGGAGAGGGCAGACCGGGTGTGCTCAGGGTGAGGAGGGGCAGACCGGGTGTGCTCAGGTTGAGGAGGGGGCAGCCTGGGCGTGCTCAGGATGAGGAAAGGGCAGACCAGGTGTGCTCAGGGTGAGGAAGGTGGTGACCCAGGTCTTCCTTTCTCTGGCCTAGGTGCTCTCCCTCTCTGGCACCCACACCAGGTGTGCCCTCCATGCCTTTGGTCTTTGAGCATTTTAAGAATCAGGTGCTTGGTGTTGATGTATTAGGTAGAAGTGTTTTCTCAGACCTTGTCTGTCCTCCATGGTAATAATGTCATATAATCATAGTCTTATAAAATCAGAGGGAACTACAATAGCAGCCTCTTCATGCAACCCATGGAGCACCAGCCCTGCACTGAGCCCTTTTCATACACTTCTAATTTGTCCCTCAACAAACCTGGGTGAGGGCTGTTCTTTCTATCCCTGTTTTACATGTGAGGACCTGGAGGCCACACAAGCTAATCTCTTCAGGATCCCACAGACATCAAGCTGCAGGGCTGGGGTTGCTGCCTGGTTCTGCAGACTCCAGATTCCATGTGAACTCTGGAGGAAGGGCTTGGAAGGTTAGCTCACTGCCCAGTACTGAAGGCTGGGCGGTGCTGCTGGAGTGGGGCAGGTCATGGATTCTCATCTCCTCTCTTGTTTGCCCTCTCAGGATGCAGGGAGCCAGCAGATAGGTTTCTTGCTTGGAAGCTGCGGAGTTACTGTAGCCTTGACTAGTGATGCTTGCCATAAAGGACTTCCAAAAAGCCCAACAGGAGAGATCCCACAGTTTAAAGGTAGGCCACCAAGCCTCTGACAGCTTGCATGCCCAAGTCCTTTGTCAGAAGACGGCTGTGGGAATGCATTATCCCGCCCGAGTTGCAGACCCACAACTTTTCATGCATCCACATCTCTGATGACACATCTGGGTGGCCGGCCCATGGGGTGACATGATGTAACACGTGGTGGTGGATTGGGTACTCGTCTGTTGACGTCTTAGGTCCCATGAAATATGGAAACACCAGAGATTTCCATCTAGTTGAAGTGATTGAAAGTATACATCAAGAATGGAGAGAAATTCTATAGACACTTTCTGGGCAACACTTAAAAGGAACTTGTTGTTTATTTCCAAGGTTGGCCAAAGCTGCTGTGGTTTGTCACAGAGTCGAAGCATCTCTCCAAGCCACCCCGAGACTGGTTCCCTCACATTAAAGATGCTAATAACGACACTGCTTATATTGAGGTGAGTCAGTCTCGGCCTCCACTGGCCCTGGTGTGACCTTGGGAACTAACATGCATTTCCGATGGTTACACAAGCGCCAGAATTAAGGGACTCGGAGCACCTCAAATAACCAGGAAAGCTGCCTTGACCTCTCAGCCCCTTTCCTCACGCTTTCTGTCTTGTTTCAGTACAAGACGTGTAAGGACGGCAGCGTTCTGGGCGTGACGGTGACGAGGACTGCACTGTTGACCCACTGCCAGGCCCTGACGCAGGCGTGCGGCTACACGGAAGGTGGGCCTGCCAGACTCTGGCTCCTTGGGACCCTGGTTCTAACCGGGACACCTGACACAGAGGCCACATCACTCCCTTGAGGAGCTGTAGAAATAGCGTGAAGTTTGTGCCCAGTTCCACTGATGTTAACTTATTGTTGAGTTAGGGTATCACCTCAGCCTGCCGTAGCAAAATACCACAGACTGGGCAGCTTCAACAGCAGACATTTATGTTTTCACAGTGCTGGAGGTCAGAGGTCAGCGTGCTCTTGGGCAGTTCCCATTGAGGGCCTCTTCCTGGCTCCTCATAGGAGGGGTAAGAAGATATGTAGTTAGGAGCCCATCCTTACGACCCTATTGAACGTGAATGACCTCCTTAAAGGCACTGTCTCCACACACAGCCATGCTGGGGCCTGGGGCTTCAGCGTGTGGATTTGGGGAGACTCTGGGAACCCCATGAAGGTTCATCCCTAGGTGCACATTTGTGTATCGTCAGGAATTGTAAATAAAACACCCGCGTGTCTGCCCACCCCTGCCCATCGCTTCAGACTCTGGGCTTCCATGGCTGAGATGAATTGGTGCCCATTCTGTGTTTTCTTTCCCCTGGGTGGGTTGGTATGGGAGGCAGAGAGGGGAAGTGAGTGGAGGGAACCGTGGCAACCGTGCTGAAATGGCACAGAGAGTGAAGGGTGCGGGCAGACCCCTGGATGCCCAGAGACTCATTGGTGCCCCGAGTCCTGCTGAGATGCGCTGAAACCTCCTGAGATGCTCTGAGACCCCATGGTGTGCCCTGAGGCCCTTTGAGACCCCCCCCAGAGAGCCCCCATGGCCCTGAGATCCCAAGGGATGCCCTGAGGCCCCTTGAGACCCACTCCGGAGACCCCCTGAAGCCCCCTAGTGACCCCCTTGACCAGGGTCCTGACGGGGCACAGCTGCAGTGTGCAGCCCTGCCTGGCATCTCTTTCTGGAACTTGACAAAGCCATGGTTGCATCTGCTGCTCCGCTGTGGAATGAAAGGCTTTTCTTTTTCTACTGTTTTTATTCTCCCTATCCTGATTATCTCCCTTTTAAAAACAGCACGTGTGTCTCATGGGTATTCAGATGTTTGGCCATGGACTTTTCACTTGTGGGGACGCATTGCCCTAGTTTCACTGCCCCGTTGTCTAACCTTAGGACCCCTGCTCCCTGCCCTAATAATGCCTCTAGGGTCCAGGGAAGTCACCATTGCAGAGGTTGGATGGGAATAGAGCCATTCACTCCTGACTTCACTGCTTTAAAAAGGAACTTGGGTTGTTTCCTTTTGGCTGTTTGTTGTGAAAGCCACTCAGTCTGTTCCCGCCACACTTCAGCCTGTGAAAGGGGAGGTGAGACTGAGTCACGTGCAGGCAGCTGCTGGCCTTGGCTGGCCGGGTGACTTCAGGAGAAAGCTGGGCCTGTTCCTGGCAAGCTCTGGGGCTTCACTTCCATGCTAGGTGATAGAGATCCTCATCAAGCAGGAACTTTTAGCACCTTTTTAGAGCCCTCCCCCATAGTCATTGAATAGACTTCCCTCCCTGTCTTCCAAATTCCGCTGCCTCCTTTTTTATCGCAACCCCACACTTGGAGACTTCCAGTAGAGCTGCGTAGGCTCCTGCGTTGCCAAAAATCCACCTCTTCCTCTATGCATACAGGGCACGCCGGCTGCAAAGCTTCCTCTCGTGGGAGACTCACGAGGAAGCAAAAAGAAATCTTTTAAAGGAAAAGGCCAGGAAGGGAAAATACATAAAAAGAGAAGGAACACGGTGGTTTGTTAGTTTGTTTTTTGTGTTTTTGAGATGGAGTTTTGCTCTGTCACCCAGGCTGGTGGGCAGTAGCATGATCTCAGGTCACTGCAACCTCTGCCTCCCAGGTTCAAGAGATTCTCCTGCCTCAGCCTCCCGAGTAGCTGGGATTACAGGCGCCTGCCGCCACGCCAGCTAATTTTTATGTTTTTAGTGTAGACGGGGTTTTGCCATGTGGGCCAGGCTGGTCTCGAACTCTTGATCTCAGGTGATCCACCCACCTCAGCCTCCCACCTGGCATTACAGGTGTGAGCCACCTTCTCCAACCAGAAACGCTGTGTTTTAAGGCGTAGCATGGAGAGCTAATGCTGCTCACTCATGTGTTAGGATATCTGTCTAGAAACTACAGGATAGCCGGCACTCAAACGGGTCTACTTGGAGGCTACAGAATTTCCACTAAGATAGGGCAAAATGATATTTTTCCAAGATCTGGTACTACCCCCGATGCAATGTTTGATTTTCTTTGCATTTTGATCTGTGCTGCCCTAAGTAAAAATCTTCTGACTATCTCTGTTGTGCAGCTGAAACCATTGTGAATGTGCTGGACTTCAAGAAGGACGTCGGGCTCTGGCATGGCATCCTAACAGTAAGTTAGGCCCCCCCCCGACCACTGCATCTGTCTACACAGGAGTCTCCTGCCCGCCCTGCCTGTACCTTGCCTATCCACACAGTAGTACCCGTCCCCCCAGCCTCTGTCCAGACAGGAGTCCCCATCCTCTCAGTCTCTGTCCACACAGGAGTCTCCTGTCCCCTCAGTCTCTGTCCATGCAGGAGTCCCCATCCCCCCAGCCTCTGTCCATGCAGGAGTCCCCTGTCCTCTAGCCTGTCCACGCAGGAGTCCCATGTCCTCTCAGTATCTGTCCATGCAGGAGTCCCGTCCCCCCAGCCTCTGTCCAGACAGGAGTCCCCATCCTCTCAGTCTCTGTCCACACAGGAGTCCCCTGTCCCCTCAGCCTCTGGCCACGCAGGAGTCCCCTGTCCCCCCAGCCTCTGTCCACACAGGAGTCCCCTGTCCCCTCAGTCTCTGTCCACGCAGGAGTCCGTCCCCCCAGCCTCTGTCCACTCAAGAGTCCCCTGTCCCCTCAGCCTCTGTCTACGCAGGAGTCCCCTGTCCCTCCAGCCTCTGTCCACGCAGGAGTCCCGTCCCCTCAGCCTCTGTCCACACAAGAGTCCCTTGTCACCCCAGCCTCTGTCCATGCAGGAGTCCCCTGTCCCTCCAGCCTCTGTCCACGCAGGAGTCCCCTGTCCCCCCAACCTCTGTCCACGCAGGAGTCCCTGTTCTCCAGCATCTGTCCACACACGAGTCCCCTGCCCGCCCTGCCTGTCCACACACGAGTCCCCTGCCCACCCTGCCTGTCCACACAGGAGTATGCTTGGTCTCGGAATACAAGTGACTAGATTTGCATCCATGTCCACCTGGGCAAGTCGCTTCTCCCCACGCTGTGCATGGAAGACCGTCACTGTTACGAGGCTGATGCTGTCACTAACATGGTTCATGGCTACACCACAACGCCAGTTGTTTCAGCAGCCACTGGTGTGAGGGTCTTGGATGCGTGGATTGAGGTTATAGCTGCCAAAAAGCAGCCTCCCAGGGCTGACATGGAGATCATTATCTTTTTTCCCACACTTCTGGCATTCAGTATCTTACAGTAACATCAAAGGTTGCTTTGTGTGTGGATTACTGTCCTCTGCATCTGGATAGGTGGATGTTCCTGTGTGTTACAGGCGTTTATGGGGCCTGCTGTTGTGTTACCTGCAGGGAAAAGTAGTTTATGGATTTGCCCTTGAAGGTGGAAATCTGTGTGTGTTATAGAGAAATGACTGTCTCACAATCATGAGTGCCCCAGATGACAGCGCCGGGCTGTGGGTGCTTCTCATGGGGAAGTAACCTTGTCTTTTAAGGCAGACTTGGCACTTAAAAGCTACGAGGAGCATGACTGCTTAGTTGCTCCCCCAATCTGTTTCATATGTGGTAATTTCCACTTATTTTTCTTTTGAATAATTTCTCATGCTAAAGTGTCTTACCATTTGGAGGTAGAAAGTTCTAGTAGTTGTCGCATGAGTGATGGACATATGAATACAGGGTTTGCTGTTTCTCGGTGAACCAGAACTCATGTGAGGAGGAGCCAGCAAGTATCTCCTAGACCAAATACCTGAGGCTCCAGAGAAGCCCATCTGGCTTCTTTCTGTGACACATGTGGGTCATCTCTAAAGCCTGGTTGCTGTTAGGGGATGGGATGAGCAGCCTGGTACTGGCACCGTCCTGCACTGGTGTGGGGGTGGGGGAGCCCCAGCTTTGGGATTGGAGGACCTGGGCTTGTGTGTCAGCCTTTGCTTTGTGACTCGGACATGTCACCTTTGCATCTAAGGCCCTTCTCAAATCTGAGCCTCAGTTTTCCTGTCTGTGAATAGGAATGACAATCCTATTTGATGTGGCTGGTGTGAGAATTATGTGGCCAAAAGCTTAAGCACCCACTGCACCTGTACGTTTGGTGCATGTGATTCAGTTATCAGATCCTGAAGAACAGACAGCTACGTTACTGTTGCTGTTACTTGCTCTCATTATTAGGATGCCTGAGTTTCTGGCTGTGATGTTGTCCACACAGCCGTGCTTCAAGTCCTCATCCTGGGGCCACCTCGCTCCTTGAGTATCTCTTATGGGTGGTGCCAGCTCTGTTCTCAGGGTACAGCTGGCAGCCCTGGCAGGTGCGAGTCTCTGCACCGTCTCATCTAAAGTGAGGTCTCTGAGCAGACTGCAGCAACCAGAAAGATGCCCTCACCTCCCCCAGCACAGTGGGGAGGGAGCCGTTAGAGCTCTGGGGAGGGAAGGGGCATGTTATCTTTCCTCTTTCATCTGGAGCTTCCCCAATCAAGCCAGTGGCTCTGCAGAGGGGTCTGTGCCATCTTATCTGCCTCCACCCTATAGCCTGCAAGACTTCGAGAATCCCAGCCTACCACACAGCCTGCCAGGTGGTGCCTGGTCTGCGGCAGGTGTGTGCATGCTGTCCATGTAGGTGTGAGTCCCAGCCTTAGTGTGCAGCAGCGTGCAGGTATGAGTCCTGCCACAGCGTGCAGCATCATATAGGTATGAGTCCCAGCCTCAGTGTGCAGGTGTGAGTCCCAGCCTCAGTGTGGTGCCCATGCAGGTGTGAGTCCTGCCTCAGCGTGCAGCAGCATATAGGTGAGTCCCAGCCTCAGTGTGCAGCAGTGTGCAGGTGTGAGTCCCACCCTCAGTGTGCAGCAATGTGCAGGTATGAGTCCCAGCCTCAGTGTGCAGTAGTGTGCAGGTGTGAGTCCCGGCCTCAGCGTGGTGCCCATTCAGGTATGAGTCCTGCCTCAGCATGCAGCAGCATATAGGGGTGAGTCCCAGCCTCAGTGTGGTTCCCATGCAGGTGTGAGTTTCAGTCTTAGCGTGGTGCCCATGCAGGTGTGAGTCCCAGCCTCAGTGTACAGCAGTGTACAGGTGTGAGTCCCAGCCTCAGCATGGTGCTCATGCAGGTGTGAGTCCCAGCCTCAGCGTGGTGCCCATGCAGATGTGAGTCCCACCCTCAGTTTGCAGCAGTGTGTAGGTACTAGCCAGTGTTTCCTAGTTTATTTTTGTCAGGAATCCTGATCTGCTGCAGCAAGGTCTGGCAGGAGCCAGAGTGTGAGCTTCCCCCAGCCCCATGTTTCAGCGCAGCATGTGATTCTCAAGATGGGTTCTGTGAAATGAAAGTTAGCATATCACACTAGGAAGAATTAGGCTCTGAGGATACAAAAGGCCATTGAAAATTATGATCCTGCACCAAAGGTTTCATCTTCAGAAGGATTTGGCCTTAAATTATCTAATTATCTCAGTGTAGTTTAGGGAAAGCAGTGGTGTTCAAGGGAGACCTTGAGAAGTCGCTTTTCTGTAGACATGCCTTTATAGGATCACAGCAAGACTTGGCCATGTCACACCTGAAGGAGACCAGCCATCCCTGCCCCTCTCCACCCTCCCACCCTAATGAGCCTCCAGGGCCCTGTGCAGCCTGTTGTCCTCGGTGCTCCCTGAGAGCTGCTCCTCCTCCAGAACTATGTTGCCTATTGTCTGTGGTGTTCCTTGAGAGCCACTCCTCCTCCTTTCTAGGGCCCCATGTGGCCTGGTGTCTGCATCACACTCTGAGAGCTGCTCCTCTGCTATGCCCTTCATACTTGCTGTCCCTGCTATCCCTACTGTCCCAACCTTAAGGACCTCCAGGGCCCTGTGAGGCCTGGTGTCCGTGACACTGGCTGAGAGCTGCTGCTCTGCATGCCTCTCTGTACTGGCCATCCCTTCCATCCCCTCCCTAAAGAGCCTTCAGGTCCTTTGCGTCCTGGTGTTCATGGCATTCGCTGAGAACCACTCCTCCTCTGGGGGCCCATGCGGCCTGGTGTCTGTACTGCTGGCTGAGAGCTGCTCCTCTGCATGCCCCTCCATGCTCACCCTATGTGTTCCTTCATTGATTGCAGAGTGTCATGAACATGATGCATGTGATCAGCATCCCATACTCGCTGATGAAGGTGAATCCTCTCTCCTGGATCCAGAAGGTCTGCCAGTACAAAGGTGGGTCTCAGCAGGCAGGGTGGCTCATGCCTGTAATCCTAGCAGTTTGGGAGGGCAAGGTGGGTGGGTCACCTGAGGTCAGGAGTTTAAGACCAGCCTGGCCACCAGGGTGAAACCCTGTCTCTACTAAAAATATAAAAATTAGCTGGGTGTGGTGGCGTGCGCCTGTAATCCCAAATACTCTGGAGATTGAGGCAGGAGAATTACTTGAACCCAGGAGAAGGAGGTAACAGTGAGGCAAGATTGTGCCACTGCACTCTAGCCTTGGTGATGAGCAAAACTCCATCTCAAAAATAACAAAAAAAGTGGGTCCTATGTGGCTCGTGGGGGCTGAGTGACAAATGATTCTTCACCTTTCCCCACTACTCATCATGACCTCTTTTTCAATAGGGGATGGTCTGACAGTGGCACATACTAACCTATTTCTATTTTTCTATTTAGCAAAAGTGGCATGTGTGAAATCGAGGGATATGCATTGGGCATTAGTAGCACACAGAGATCAGAGAGACATCAACCTCTCCTCTCTGCGAATGCTGATCGTGGCAGACGGAGCGAACCCCTGTAAGTGAAGAACCCATGTGAACTCACGAGGCAGGGTCTGTGGAGTCTTTTTTTCCCCAAGTTTCATTCTTTGCACTTTGATTTTTCTTTTTCTCATCTTTATCTTAGTAAAGAAGTGGTCTTAAAATAACCAAACAGTGGCACTCACTCTGGCTGAGAGGTGCGATGGCGTAAGGATAAGGATAGGTATTTGCAGACACCACAGCCCTGGGATTCAGAGGATGTCTTGGTTCTGTAGAAAAAGTTCCTTTGCTGACCCTGTTTCCCCTGGCTGTAAAACGGTTCTTAAGTCATAAACTTTCATGAGGATTAAATGAAATAAGCCCTAAGCAGGTAACAAGTGCCTCAGGAAATATTTGGCTGCTATTCCTTTATGGTCTATAGTAGTTTCCTTGATTAGTAAATTAATTTGTCATTTTTAATGTAATTTCATTACTACATCCTCTAACAAAAATGCCCAGATAAAGTAAACTAGCAGTTCTACAGAATGCTATTAATATACCTTGAGAAATATTTCAGTTAACTGAAATAAGAACCTAGCTGGCATGCTTTTGTGAGAAAAGATCTAAAGCTTAGAAGCAATGTGAAATTGATGAAAGGAGGTTTCTGACCACATTTATGCAACATGCAGCGTTTAAATTTGTAAACTAAAGCAGCATAAACGCCTTTAATGCCAGATATACAAAATTAGACTCATAAACATGTTTTACAATTTACACTTATAAAATTTCATAAATCCTGAGCAAATTTAATAAACAATTGTTTTTAACCCATAACTCCACAGAACAATACATCTTACATAAAGGAAAGTATATCTATATTTGGAAATAGTTTAGCTGATATGTTCTTCATAATTTTGCCTCACCCTCATCATTTAAATTAATATAGAGGAAAGTTTTCAGCATTTGATTTAGATTTTTCCCCTCTTTGACTTTGCATACTGAAAATAGTGGAACAAGTCTCAGAAAAGTGACTAAAGTAAGTTCATCTGCCAGAAAAGGCATCATAAATGTGGAGATTGCATTCTTAAATTCTTGAGTTCTATTATTTTGAACATAATTGTATTAAATGCAGTGTTTTTCCATGCTGCCTAGATCCACTTGTGCCTGAATCCTACATTCAGAACTGCTTTATGTTACGGGATTTTGTAATCAGTCACAGTGCTTCAGCTGTCTGATCATTGTCCCTCTTTCACTCTAGGGTCTATTTCTTCTTGCGATGCATTTCTCAATGTCTTCCAAAGTAAAGGCCTTCGACAGGAGGTCATCTGTCCCTGTGCCAGCTCGCCAGAGGCCCTCACTGTGGCCATCCGGAGGTACTGGGTCGTGCTGATTTATGTAGATAACCTAGAGACAATCCTAATTCAGCAGCAGAGGGAGATCAGGAAATCCTGACAGTCGATGCTGAGGGTGAGGGTGAAAATGGGACCTAACTTTTCAGGATGAGTTTATTTCTCTTTTATGTGCTGGAACAGATTCTTTCAAACAGCCTAGATTCATTCATTAAAAAACATTGATCCCTGAAGTTTCACTGTAATTCCTTAATAAGTGGAACTGTCTGGAGACACATGGAGCCATAATATCCAGTCCTTGCAGTTTACTCGTTTCCACTTGCTCATATCAATGTGTGGTTTGATTTGGGATGGGATAGAGTAGGCTTTAGAAGAAGTGAGATCCTCACAGTCAAGCACATGCTCTGTGGCATGCCATTTCTGCCCTTCGCTGTCTTCACTTTCTGCCCTTTGGAATGCTGAACTTTAAAGGGCGCTGCTTTGCTAAGCATTCTAGGAGCTTAGTACCACATCTAAGGGCTCGAAGGTCTGTGGTAACCAGATGTCCCATGGGGTGCTTTCCTTGAGGCCGCTGTCATCCAGAGGGCCCTGGGTCAGGTCACTATGATCCAGGTCACTGCAGCCTGCTGTATGGCAGCATAGTGCTTGGGAAGGAAGTGGTAATGGGGGTGTAAAATCGGTGCTGCCCAGGTGGAAAGTGTTCAACACCATCAATCTCAGGCGCTGGTGCAAGAAAGGCCTGTTTAAGCAGCCTCTCCGCCATCAGCACTCATGTCAGAAAGTGTGTAACTCATCTAGACCTTTGAAACTTGTGACATGACTTATTTTTTAATATCTTTGGGTTCCATCCATAATTAGGTTTTCTCTCATATAGCACAGATGTAGTGTAAATGACATAGGAAAGTCAGTGTACAAAGTACATGAGTTCTGCTCTGTGTTAGGAAAACATTGGGCTTTCCAAAAAAATATTACTAAAATTATTTCCGTAAGTAAACAGGCCTTCTGAAGCTTTTAGGTGTTCATGTAATATTAACTAGATTAGCTGACTATCAGGCTGAGAAACTGGAAACATTTGAAATATCAGAAGCCACTTTAAATTTTGATTAAACCAGAAGTTAAAAGTCTTACATAATTTAAATAGATAAAAGATGGTAACACTAGCCAGAATCTGATCTTCACTTTTTTTTTTAATTGTACTTTGGGCTCTGGGGTACATGTGCACATCCCGCATCCTGCAGGATTGTTGCATAAGTACATACGTGCCGCATTCCCCCCACCAACCCCGTCACCTACATCAGGCATTTCTCCTGGTGTTATCCCTCCCCATCTGCCCCACCCCCTGCTGTCCGTCCCCTCCCCTCCCCTCCACCTCTCCACCTAGCCCAGTGAGTGTTGTTCCCTTCCCTGTGCCCAAGTGTTCTCATTGTTCATCACCCACCTGTGAGTAAAAACATGCAGTGTTTGGTTTTCTGTTCTTGTGTCAGTTTGCTGAGAATGATGGTTTCTAGATTCATCCATATCTCTACAAAGGACACTAATTTGTCATTTCTTATGGCTGCATGGTATTCCATGGTGTATATGTGCCAAATTTTCTTTGTTCAGTCTATCATTGATGGGCCTTTGGGTTGATTCCAGGTCTTTGCTGTCATAAACAGCACTGCAGCGAACATATGTGTGCATGTGTCTTTATAATAGAATGATTTATAATTTTTCGGGTATATACCCAATAATGGGATTGCTGGGTCAAATTTGAGGAATCACCACACTGTCTTCCACAATGGTTGAACTAATTTACACTCCCACCAACAGTGTAAAAGTGTTCCTTTTTCTCCACATCCTCTCCAGCAGCTGTTGTCTCCAGATTTTGTAATGATTGCCATTCTAACTGGTGTGAGATGGGATCTCAATGTGGTTTTGATTTGCATCTCTCTAATGACGAGTGATGATGAGCTTTTTTTTCATGTTTGTTGGCTGCATAAATGTCTTCTTTTGAAAAGTGTCTGTTCATATCCTTCACCCACTTTTGAATGGGGGGTTTGTTTTTTTCTTGTAAATCTGTTTTAGTTCTTTGTAGATTCTGGCTATCAGCCCTTTGTCAGATGGGTAGATTGCAAAAATTTTTTCCTATTCTGTTGGTTGCCATTTCACTCTAATGATTGTTTCTTTTGCTGTACAGAAGCTCTGGAGTTTAATTAGATCCCATTTGTCTATTTTGGCTTTTTTGGCCAACGCTTTTGGTGTTTTAGTCATGAAGTCCTTGCCTATGCCTATGTCCTGAATGGTTTTGCCTAGGTTTTCTTCTAGGGTTTTTATGGTGTTAGCTCTCATGCCAGGTTTTAAAAAGATAGAGTTACCCTAACAGCAGGTGCTCTCTGAATAATTTTCTGGCATTCCTGTTAGACCTTGGAGAAAAATTACATCCAAGGTTGTAGTAGCAGATTTACCATCACAATCATGTTCTTCAGAGATCAGCACTAAAATGCGTGTCTATTTGAGGACCCAAGAGTGGATGCCAAGGAGGGGCTTCAGGCAGCAAGTGTGGTGGGGCCTCGAGTCTGGAGCCAGTTCAGAGCCTCGGTGGGTGGCTGCAGGATCCTGGCCACCGCCCTTTGCCCCAAACCTCATTGTCTTCACCGGAAAATGAGAGGTTGGATTCAGTAATCTGTAAATTTCCTTCCACCTGTCAATGTTGAAGACCCCACAGTTCTGTCGAGTCACAGCTTTGCCACAGTCAATTTGGAAAATGAGCCATTCACAAGCAGGAAGCCCAGAGTTATTATGGGGAGGGCGATGGTTCACCCATGCTTCTCCGCACCCAGAGTTAGGGTAGGATGCTTCACCCGTTTGCCTCTCCTGAGAGCACACTCTGTGAAGGTCCACAGCACTGAGCCCCAGCATTGATTGGCAAGAAGAAGACAGGATGAGCAAAGGATGTTTAATCCTTTCTTGTAAAATATTTTAAAATGCTCTCAAAAATTTTTTTTTTTTTTTTGAGAAGATTAAAAGGTCAGGGTCCATTACAGGCAAATGAAGCAGCATCTGTTTACTGAGTGTGTCTCAGTGTGGCCCGAGAGACGTTTCTCTCATGGTTCGTGGGGCTCAGGCATTTTAAACTCACCAACCAGCAAACATGCCCAGCATCACGAGAACCTGCCGTATACACAGGGGGATCGTTAGTTTGAGTCCGTGAAATCATAAATGGACGGGGAATGGTAGTTTGCAGTTTTGTAAAAGGTGTAACTCTCCTTTGGAAAAGAAGCAGTGGGGATTGAGCAGCTTCCAGACTCCGTTCATGACTGGCTGAAACAGAGTCTGAACCCACCTCCACCCCAGGCTGGTGAATCTGTGTATTAGATGTACCAGAGACCAGGAGCTGATCTGAGCCTGAAGGCTGGGGCAGCTGGCCTGGCCTTGGGAGGTGTGGCTCCTGTCTGCTGGCCCCCAGCATGCCTCTGCCGGTCCTCCAGCCTCCCCACTCCGGATGATAACCTGCAGCCATTGTCAGTCTTTAGAGACATAGTCACTTGTTTCCAGATAACCAGTGAAAATACCAGAACGGGGGCAGGCGGGTCTCCCTGGAGCTGTTCCACCCCAGAGGGAGGGCAGCTGCCTCGCCTGCTGTTCTTCCAGGTCCTGCAATCCCCTCCAGAGACAGGGCCACCTGGGTCCTGGAGCCCTTCCCCAGAGCCCATGTGCCCCCAGAGGTCTAGGGAGCCTGTGCTCTGTTTCCCACAGCCAGCCATGAAACTGGGTAGTGGGAGGGCAGGATTCATGGGGTGGGTCCTGTTTACAAGAGCACTTGATCAGAAAACAGTCCTGGCTGGGCCTGGCATGGAGCTGCGAGCACTAAGGGCCTTGTCCCCTGGCCCCAGCACCTCCTGGGCGCTGCCCATGTCACATCCCCTCCCAGACAGCTGTTTACCCTTCTCTTTCACATGGATCTTCAGGGAGAGCATGCCCGCTGCTGCGGTCCCCTCGCTGTTCAGCCTGTTAGCACTCTTGTTCTTCTGTTTTCCCTCCACCCTCTGCTTTCCAACCTGTCTCTGGCTCCATGTTAACTTCTCACACTCAGCAGATGTTTTTAGAACACCTGTTGTTTGGCAGAAGTAGTTCCTTTGATGTGAATGCAGCAAAAAGAAAGGCCAGAAAGGGGCATGGTGAGGGAGGACGTCCACAGCCTGTCAGGTCAAGGAAGAGGTCATTGCAGATAGCTGTGGAACTTGCCCTGTGGTTTCACTGGGTGAACAAGCAGAATACGTCCTTGCGCCACAGGTGGATGGACCCCACTCTGCCCCTTTCCATGTGTGAAAAAGCAGAATGTGTCCTTGTGTCATGGGTGGACAGACCCCCACCCCACCCCTTTCTGTGTGTGAGAAAGCAGAACATGTCCTCATGAAAAAGCAGAATGTGTCCTTGCATTACGGGTAAACGAACCCCCCTGCCCCCTTCTGTGCTTGATATCTCCTTGCGGCTCAGCCATGCCCGCTTGTTACCAATTACTCATAGCAGCTGAGTGGAGCAGTGTGGCCTCGAGTGTTTACTTTCTGACCCTTTCCTGAGAAAGAGTGCGACTCCTGCCATACGCAGCAAGTGACCATCTTAACTTCACCTCCCCTGCTGTGCACAGCCCTGGGCTTGGGCTCTGAAGAGGCCGGGAAGGTTGACTTCTCTCCCCTCCTTGAGTACCCCTGAGTGACAGGCAGAATGACCTCATGGTAGGCAGCTCCTGTGAAAAAGCAAATGATACCATCAGAAGGTGTGTCAGGTGGGGGTGGGGGCGGTGGCTCACACCTGTATTCCCAGCACTTTGGGAGGCCAAGGCAGGTGGATCGCCTGAGGTCAGGAGTTCAAGACCAGCCCAGCTAACATGGTGAAACCCTGTCTCTAGAAAAAAAATACAAAAATTAGCCAGGCATGATGGTATGTGCCTATAACCCCAGCTACTTGGGAGACTGAGGCAGAAGAATCACTTGAACCCAGGAGGCAGAGGTTGCAGTGAGCTGGGATTGTGCCACTTCACTCCA